TATATTCACTACGATATCGCTGACAGTACGGGGTCAGGCTAAGACAAGGACGTAGCTCAAGGAGCGTACGACAGGGCGCGTTCGCGCAGGAATTTCAGCGGTCGCGCAGCTGCTCGCTTAGCAGCTTAGCGCGCTCTAATAGGCTATCTAGGTCAGCGCCGTGACAGTACTCCCCTTCTTAGGCGGAGCTCCGACGACGCGATTAACGGGGCTTGTCTGGGTAACAGCGGTAGAAGTTCTTGACAATCTCTTAGGCGTTCCCAACGTAGTCGGCTAGTACTTCAGTAGGCTCGTCGTATCCAACCCACTTCACTATATACTTTAGTCGGGGCCGGCCTCCACGGCCGCGGCGGTCCCAGCGGGAGTCTAGGATATCCTCGACCTCCCACTCCTCAACTCCCTCAACTTCGACAGGAGGGGGCGGGTCTTGTCGCTGCCCAGGCAGGGGGTCAGTCGCAGCTGGGCGGAGCAGGCTCACGTAGAACACAGGGTGGATCTTCATTAAAGCAGGCAGCTCTATGCGGTAAGCATACGGGCTGACGACCTTAGTGACCCTGTAGGGTCCTAGGAATTTCCAGTCTAGTTTTTTCTGCGGGCGGGCAGTCTTGATATTCCGGGCGTCAAGCCACACTAGGTCGTTTTCAAAGAACTGGCGGGCAGGTTTACGTTTCCTGTTAGCGTACTTCTCGTGCTGGGCTTGTGCGATACAGATCTCAGAGCGCAAGTACTCGTGGACGATTTTCATCTTTAGGGCTAGGTTTTCGGCGTCTTGCGCCGCTAGCCGTCGGCTTAGATCAACAGGCTCGAATCCTAGGCGGGGGTGGAAGCCGTAGTTCGCGAAGAATGGCGTTATGCGGGTGCTCTCGTTGTTGGCGTTGTTTACCGCGAATTCGGCTAGCGGTAGCCATCTCGCCCAGTCATCCTGCAGGTACGAAACTTGGCTTCGCAAGTACTGTTCTAGGAAGGAGTTCGCTCTCTCCGTTTGCCCGTCAGTTTCTAGGTAGTACGCAGTAGACAGGAGGGACTAGATCCCTAGGCGTCGGGTTAGGTGGCTCCAGAACTCAGATACGAACTGTGGTCCTCGGTCTGATACGATAGTCTTGGGGAGGCCGTGTAGCTTCCAGACGTACTTCGTGAATAGGCGCGATACCTCCTCAGCGTCACAGGTACCCCGGCAGGCAACAAAGTGCTTCATCTTAGTGAGTCTGTCTACGACGACTAAGATGGCGTCAAATCCGCTACTCTTAGGCAGGTGCGTGATGAAGTCTATCGATAGATCCTGCCAGGCTCGGTTAGGTATTAGTAACGGTTTTAGGACTCCTTGTTTTGCTTCTCGTGATGTTGTAATTCGTCTACAAGTGTGGCAGTTCCGAACCTATTGCTTAACGTAGTCTAGCATTCCAGGCTAGTAGTATTCTCGAGACAGTGCCTCGTAGGTTTAGGATCGGCCCATGTGGCCGGCGACAGGGCTCTCGTGGTACATCCGTAGTAGCTCAGCATGTAGTTCAGGGTTATTAGGTGCGTACAGGCGGTCTCGATAATACAAGTAGCCTTTACGCTCTACACACTCGGCGAGTGTAATCCTCTTGTGATGACTCTGTCTAGTACGGAGGGCCTCTAGTATAGAACTTAGTTCTTCGTTGTTCTTGTATCTCTTCGTGAACAGATCCTTTATAGTTAGCGGTAGTAGCAGTGCAGCTCTTCTAGGTAGTAGTATCGGACGGGCGGGTTTAGCGGCTAGTTCTAGCACTGCTAGTTCTAGACTTCCTATCGTACAGGCGCGTGTAATAGAGAACAGGCAGACAAAGTAGTCAACGGCAAAGCGGACTTTTTTCTTATGTTTTAGGGAAGCTGGCGGTGTTAGCGGTACATTAACAAGGCGGGCGGCGGCGAGTATAGGGGTTGTAGCGGGCGTGTCTAGCGGGGTTAGAGGTAGATCGAAGTTCTCCTTCTTTAGCACGACTTAGCTCTAGTGCTGTAAGCGTTTATCCCCCTCCTTAGGCAGATCTTCTAACCTCCTAGTCAGCGCGTTAGGCTTCGCACCTAGCTTGCTAGGGCGGTATATAATCTAGAAGTTAAAGCGGGATAGGAATTCAGACTAGCGGGCTTGTCGTTAGTTTAGCAACTTAGTAGTAGTAAAGTACTCTAAGTTACAGTAGTCTGTAATAACCTTAATTAGCGATGCGGTTCTTTCTAGCTTAGGTCTCTATTCTTTAAAGCAGCGTATAATCGCGAGCAGTTCTTTATTGTATATCTTATAATTACACTTAGTTGTTAAGTGTTTCTTAGAGAAGAACGCTACAAGTCGAAGTATCCTATCGTCTCTATACTAAGATAGCACTCTAGCGGATACATAGTCAGACGCGTCTGTCTCTAAGATAATCTCCCTTTCCTAGTTAAACAGAGCTAAGATTAGAGCTTTAGTAAATGCGGTTTTTAGATAGTTAAAGGCCTTTTAGCAATTACTATTCTAGACAAACTTAATACCTTTTCTTATAAGAGCAACTAGCAAGGCGATAATCTTTAAGAAGTCTTATATAAACTAATAGTAGAAGTTACTAAATCTAATAAACGCTTGTACGTTAGTTAGGCAGGACAGAGTTTTCTATTTTTGTATTATCTTAACTTTCTGTAAGTCTATGCAAATCCTTTTGCGTCTAATAATAACGCCTAGGAAGGTAGTCTCTTTCTTAAAGAATTTGCACTTCTAAATCTTTGCATATAGTCTAGCTTTTCGCAGCGCAGTTAGTACTAGGCGCAGGTGTTTTTTGTGTTCTCCTCTAGTTTAGCTGTAGATTAGAATATTGTCTAAGTAGGTAGTGTAGAAAACGTCTAAGTTGTAACGGGCTGAACGCCCTTCAGATAGCTCCTCGATGGAATCTCGGTCTACTCGCAGAACCCGGGTGCTACCCCGAGCACCCGGATTCTATCGGCCCGATTGTTACTCGGGCAACTAGCATTGTATATAGATAGCTGCGTAGCTTAGGAGCTTAGTTCTCTATCGAATACAACCTCTTGTATACCTCGCGATTGCTCCACGGAGCGCAGCCCCTTACATTTTGTATTCGATCCTAATTAGCAGAGCCTTGCTATAAGACTCTGCCAACGCGACGCGCGTTAAGCTTCTTGACCGCCTCTTTGTTACGTGCGAGTAGGTTAACCCGCCGCACGGGATTGGTGTTGTCAGAAGACACGAAAGGCCTTCAGACAACAACTAGGCACAAGCCATCACGAGATCGCAAGCCTAGGACTGTAGCTTCGCAAGACGCTCAGTCGAACGAGTGACTGGCCTCGCGTGACGCCAGCGCTTAGCGTGTATCGGGCAGCTAGTAGACTCTAGTCTGTGTGCGAGATACCGTTCGGAGGAAAGCCCTACGCGATACCTTAACAGTACTGAGGTGTAGGTCCTGCTACTCGCAAGAACGATCGCTAGAGTGTGAGCGATAGCAGTTGAAGCCCTGTTAGTCCTCTAAGGATTGAGGAACAGGCAACGACCCTGCGCTACAGCTGAGAGTCAGCTACGAGCGAGCGTCGTCTGAAGTCCTATCGGTCCTCTATTGAACGAGGCATAGGCCGTGATTAATTGCCAAGCCAGGCAGTCGAGTATCGCGAGCGGAGGGACGCGGGTCTCTCGTGGTTTTAGCGACACCGTAAGTCGTTCGGAGAAGTCTTGCTATCGAGAGCAAGCTAGAGAAGCCCTGTACTAGTAACAGGCTACGGAAGCCCTACTATCCCTCGCCGACGAAGAGCAGGCCGCAGTCTAAGGCTACGCGAGTAGACCAAAAGCGGCCATAGAGATCAACGTTCCGAACTTGAACGTAGAAGAGCTAGCGGCGTACGCTACCGCCAAGAGCCAGGCAGGAGTCTCAGACGAAGAGATCCTGCGCGAAATCACACAGATGCTGAGAGAGGACGGATGGAAGGAGGCAGCGGTCGGGCCAACAATTGAAGCGGTTGTCAAACGATCATCAGTCGTGGGAGGGAAAGGCTCGCCAAGACGAGGAGACTCGCCGAAGGGCAATCAGGACGCCATGGCCCAGATGATGCAGCAGATGATGCGACTGCTTAGCCCGATGGCTAGTCGTCTGGAAGCACTCGAGCGGAGTCAAGCTGAAGGACGCTCAGAGCCGTCCTTAGGAGCCAACACCCCTCCGCCACTGTCGACACTAGTCGCCGAGCCAGCTGTCCGCAAGAACAAGTTTCCCGACCTAGAGCGCTTCGACGGGACACGAGGTAACTACCTAGGCTGGAAATTTGAGTGTGAAGGGAAGCTAGAGTACGATTGTGCTATGTTCCTAACGGAGGACGCAAGGGTCCGATACGTGCTCAGCCGAACGAAGGACAAGGCGAACCAGGTCCTTCTCCCTTGGGTACTCGAGAACAAGGAACGAACGGTCATCGGCCTGTGGGAGCATATGGATACCCACTTCCAGGACGTACACTAGCAGCAGCGCGCGCTAAATAAGCTTCAGCACCTGAAGCAAGGACGGAGGCCAATACGCGATTACGTCTCAGAGTTCAACCAGCTTCGCGTAGAATCTCGTCAACAGTTCAGCCCAGCAGTAGCTCGGGAGATGTTCAGCGAGGGCCTCGGAGAAGAACTCCAGAAGCTGATGCTCTACACTCCAAAGAACGGAAGCCTGAAGGAATACATGGACAAGGCAATCGAGCTATCCGACGACCTGTACCGGATCCAGCTACATGGGCGGAACCAAAGGAACGCGGCTCATGGCGACGCGCAGAACCACCCGAGAGCCGCTCAGCGAGAAGCTAACCCAGAAGCGATGGACTGGGAGCCATCGAAGATCAATCGAGCGCGGGAGGTAGGAAGCAGGCCAAGACGGCCACCGCCTGACTGCTACAGCTGTGGAGAGCTGGGTCACATTGCCAGGAGCTGTCCGAACACCACTCGAGTCAAGAGAGCGAGAGGTACCCCTACGGGCGAAGGACAGAAACTCCAGAAGGAGGCTGAGGAACCAACGGACAGCGACTCGGGAAAAGAGGAGCTCTGAGCCAGAGTCTCAGCTCAGAGCCTCTGAAGATGGATCGGCAGACAAGCAGCGAATGGAGTCAATTTCAGCAGGAGCATATGCGTCCCCTACTAATCACGATAGATCTAATTGTGAACAACGTAGTAAACGCTACAGCACTAATCGATTGTGGGTGCCTTTGCTATGCGCTGGTTGATAAGAAGTTCGCCTACCGCTACTGTCTAGAGCGCTATCAGATCCCCGCCCGGATGATTGAGGGAGTGAATGGTAAGCTATCGGAGATTAACGAAGTCGCCCGATTCTCGTTCAAACTGCACGGGTACGAAGAGACTGCCTATGCATACGTGATGAACCTGTCCTCAGATGAGGACGTGTATCTAGGAAGGGGGTGGATAGACCACCGTGACGTGTCAATAGCCCCCGCGAAGAAGAGCATCTTTATCCACTCAAAGGGCATTCGAGTGCGATCTACGGAAGGGACCCTACAGGGAGGGGTCCGACAAGTAAGTGCCGCTACGTTCGCGGCATTACTCCGCAGACACAGGAACGCTCCGAACAGCGTTCAGATCTTCGCCGCGTTAATAGCAGACATTGACAAGGCCCTACAGAAAAAGAAGCCGGTAGACGTGCGTGCACTGCTACCGAAGCAGTATCAGGAGTTCTACGAGCTCTTTAACCCAAAGGAAGCCGAGAAGCTCCCACCTCACCGAGGTCTAGGAGTAGACCATAAGATCGAGCTAGAACTGAAGGATGCTCAGCCACCATAGGGGCCTCTCTATAGCATGTTAAGAGGCGAGTTATTAGTTCTACAGAAGGAACTTACGTCGCTGCTCGAAAAGGGATTTATCCGTGTGAGCAGCTCACCAGCCGCCGCCTCAGTGCTGTTCGCAAAGAAGCCCGGAGGAGGACTCTGATTGTGTATCGACTATCGAGCCTTAAACGCAATTACAAGAAAGGATCGATACCCCCTTCCGCTTATCTGAGAGACGCTCAACAGTATTAGCAAGGCCAAGTGGTTTACGAAGCTAGACGTTATCGCAGCGTTTTATAAGATCCGCGTCACACTAGGCGACGAATAGAAGACAGCCTTCTGAACGAGGTTCGGACTATTTGAGTAGCTAGTTACTCCCTTTGGCATAGCGAACTCCCTAAGTACGTTTTAACGTTACATTAATTGGACTTTAAGAGAACACCTTGACGACTTCTGTTTAGCGTACCTAGACGACGTGTTAATCTATTCTAACGGTGACTTAAACTAACATCAAGAACACGTCCGAAAGGTGCTTAGCAAGCTACAAGCCGCTAGCCTGCAGGTCGATATTAAGAAGTGCGAGTTCGAAGTTAAGTCAACGAAGTACCTTAGGTTCGTGATAGAAGCTAGTAAAGGAATAAGCATAGACCTAGCGAAAGTAGCCGCAATCCGCGAATAGGAGGCGCCGAAGACAGTTCGGGGAGTAAGATCGTTTCTTGGTTTCGCGAACTTCTACTAAAGGTTTATTAAGAACTTCTCGCAGCTATCAGCGCCACTAACAAGGCTAACGAGCGACGTCCCCTTCTAATAGGGTCCTGAAGAACAATCAGCCTTCGAGAAGCTAAAGGAGATCTTCGTTACAGAACCCTCCTTAGCAGCGTTCGACCTAGACCGTGAAACGGTGCTCGAATGCGATTCGAGCGGCTACGCAGTAGGTGGAGTACTATCGCAGTACGACGATAATAGAGTCCTGCGGCCCTGTGCGTACTTCTCACGGAAGAATAACGCACACGAGTGTAACTACAAGATCTACGATAAAGAGCTACTTGCAGTAGTGCGATGCCTCGAGGAATAGGACTCTGAACTGCGTTCGGTAGAGAAGTTTAAGGTAATTACAGATTACAAGAACTTAGAATACTTTATAAAGCCTAGGATGCTAAACGAGCGTCAGATAAGATAGTCGCTTCTTCTAGGCAGGTACAACCTAGAGCTGTTGTATCGGCCTAGCAAAGAGAACGTAAGAGCCGACGCGCTCTCAAGAAGAGAACAAGACCTGCCCGAAGGGGCAGAAGACGAATGCTTACAGAAGCGGTTCGTACAAATACTTAAGCTAACGAACTCCTACTACGAGGAGTCAATCGAAGAGGCTTCAGATAGCAGGACTCTAGTAATGACAATGCGGCTACGAGGCTAGAGAGAAACAGAGGCAGCTAGTTCGTTAGAAGACCAGTCGGACGAGCTCGAGGCGCAACACTAACAGGAGGAAGAGGCTGCTCACCTTACCGAAGAGGGTTTGGAGCAGCCCCACGTTGAAGAATTAAGAAAGGAGCAGAATGAGCTCGAAACGCTCTGGCAGGGGACGGCAGCGAAGGATCGGGTCTACTAAGGAGCAAAGCAGGCGATAGAGGATTAAGAACGGCGGTTCCTAGTAAGCCTAGGCCTGAAGTGCTCAACCGAAGACTGCTCAGTCGAAGAGGGAGTCCTATTCTATCGAGGACGCAAGTGGGTACTGGACAGCGACGAGTTGAGAACGGCGGTTATTAGCAACGCCTATGACTCACTAGCTACGGGCCACCTAGGCCGCGAGTTGACGTACAAGATACTCGCGAGGGACTACTTCTGGCCAGGCATGACAAACTCGATCCGAAGATACGTCAGAAACTGCGACACGTGCGGAAGGAGCAAGTTATGGAGAGAGGGCACGCAAGGCCTCTTAAAACCACTCCCGATACCCACTCGGGTCTAGAAGGAGCTCTCTATGGATTTCGTTGAAGGACTGCTAGAGAGCGACAGCATGACTAGTCTAATGGTGATCACTGATCGTCTCAGTAAGGGCACGATTTTCGTACCACTTCTAAACATAAAGACAGAAACTGTTGTCCGAAAGTTCATCGAACGCGTGGTTGCATATCACTAGCTGCCGGACGCTATCACGTCTGATAGGGGTAGCTAATTCGTGAGCGTTCTATAGGCCAGACTGTGCGAGCTCCTGAAGATTAAACGGAGACTGTCAACGGCCTATCACCCACAGACTAACGGCGCTACAGAGAGAATAAACAGCGTCTAGGAAGCCTATATCCGATCCTTTACGAATTGGGCTCAGAACGACTAGGCACGACTCTGCCCAATAGCTCAGATCGCGATCAACGGAAGAAACGCAACGTCAACAGGGATATCACCATTCTTTCTTCAGCACGGCTATGAAGTGGAGCCTCTACAGCTTGAGATAGGCAACAGGAGAGGACTGCGAAAGCCTGCTGAACAGCTTTCGGACGAACAAAAAGCAGCAGAGATCGCGCTTAAGCTACAACAAGCTGTAGAGCTAGCCCAAGCAGGAATGGCAGTCGCCCAGCAAGAACAAGAGAGACAGGCGAACAAGACTCGGAGGGAGGCACAGCGCTACCGAGTAGGCGACAAGGTATGGCTGAAGCTCGATCAGCAATACAGCACAGGGCGAAGCTCAAAGAAGCTCGACTGGAAGAACGCTAAGTACACGGTGGTAAAGGTAATCGACAGCCACTCAGTCGAACTAGACACGCCCCCAGGCCCACACCCTGTATTTCATGTTGATCGGTTAAAACTTGCTAGCAACGACCCGCTTCCGAACTAAGTTCAGGACGACTATCAACCACAGCCGCTGCGGGTAGAGGGAGAAGATGAATAGGAAATAGAAGACATTGTAGCAGAAGAGGTACGCCGCCGCGGGAGAGGGCGTAAGCTATATTACGAGGTGAAGTGGAAAGGGTTTCACCAAACAACGCTTGAACCAGCGGAGCTACTCGAGGACGCTGAGGCAGTAGATCGTTGGGAAGCATTCACAGAGGCCGAACGAGACAGCGAGGGCCGCCTCCCAGAGGGGTTTCGGAGAGGTGATGTAGTATCACTATAAACAGGGGGGTATTGTAACGGGCTGAACGCCCTTCAGATAGCTCCTCGATGGAATCTCGGTCTACTCGCAGAACCCAGGTGCTACCCCGAGCACCCGGATTCTATCGGCCCGATTGTTACTCGGGCAACTAGCATTGTATATAGATAGCTGCGTAGCTTAGGAGCTTAGTTCTCTATCGAATACAACCTCTTGTATACCTCGCGATTGCTCCACGGAGCGCAGCCCCTTACATAAGTATCTTTTTAAAGTATTGTTAATAAACCTCTAAAAGGTAGCTAGTGCTCTAGATAGGCTAAACAGCATTACTAGACTCTTATACAGGCTAAATCGTGTTTAGAACGCAGTTAAATACTCTTAGCTTTCTTTTATACGTACGTTGTTAAAGGTAGTAATAATATTAACCTTAGAGAAGTACTTTATTCCCTTTAAGTTATTTAAGCTTTCCTTTATAAGCGGTAGCAGGTAGCAGTCCTTTACTAAGATATTATTTAGTCTTTAGTAATTAATATAGAACTAGAGGCCTCTATCTAGTTTCTTAATAAATAGTACAGGCGAGGCGGCAAGCGAAGAGCTTAGCTAGATAAAGCTCTTCTGTAAGTTCTCCTCTAGCTATTTCTTTAAAGCTTTAAGTTCTTCTTAGGATATAAAGTATAGCAGCTTAAAAAGTAGCGTCTTGCTGTTAAGTAAGTAGATGTTATAGTTGTGTAAGCAGTGTAGAGGGAGCTTCTCTGCTTCTTTAGGCGAGAAGACGTCCTAGAAGTCTTTTATCTCCTCTAGTAGTAGAGACTTAAGGTCTAGTAGCTTAGGCGTGTTAAGCTAAGACAGATAGCAATCTATCTGTTCGATTGTAATTGTAAATATATAGTAGTTTCTTTAGGTATACGCAGCGCAAGCGTTTAGCAATACTTTTGCGATATCTTAATTCCTTAGCAGCTTAGGGCGGTTAGGCAGGTTAATTAGGCAGGATTTTAGTAGGAGCTTATATAGTGCGTAGATCTTATTTAGCCTTCTAGGCGTGTTGTAGTGTTTCTAACAGTACTTGCTCTTAAACGTTAACGTGTAGCTAGCGAAGCTAATCTTTAGGTTATATTACTTAAGCTAAGGCATTTTTAAGATTACTAAGTAGTGCGCTAGCTGCGTTACGTTTAGCTAAATTGTCTCTAAGTAGTTTTCTACCTGCATAGTAGTTTCTATATAGTGCGTTACTATCTCTTTAACAGATATATTGCCCTTAAACGTAACAATACTAAAGGAGTTTTTTTGCTTTCTTAGAGGTAGCCTGTAGCTATTAGCTTAGCTTTAGTCTATAAATCTTTTGCCCTCTGCTCTAGAATTAGTTATAGCGTACGTTAGTATTGCTTTCTTCTCTATCTCTAGCGTAATAGGCAGGATAATTATGTTAAACCTCTAGTTACTTTTCTTGTGCACTAATAGTCTTTTAATAAACGCAGTAGATAATTAGACTAAGAGAAGTAGTTTCTTAATGCGCTGTTTAGGAGCCTGCACACAACTTAGTTTAAGCTTACTCTATTTAATAAGTAGTTTGTCTTAGAAAGTAGGCTAGCAGTATAGCAGAGTAGTAGAGACTTAGGGGGGCTAGTAGGGCGGTAAGGCTGCGGGGACGCAAAGCAGAGAGCCTAATAGGCGGCTAGCGGACTAGTGTAGCGTTAGTGCTAGTTAGTAATTGTCTTTGCAGACTAGCGGGTGTTAGGCTTAAGGCACTAGGCGACTTAGTAGGATTTTAATCTGCAGTAGAAATATTCGCCTCTCTCTCTCTAGCTGCCTAGTAAGAACGTCTTCTAAGAAGAGAGGTCTATAGGTTTGTATATTAGAGCTAAACTTAATAGGCTAGAGCGAGGAGAGTTAGGTTGTTTAGCGGTTACGTTTGAGTAGACTGTAAGCTTAGCGGCTGCAGCGTAGCTGCTTAGGAACGCCTTAGCTATAAAAGTGCAGTTACAGGAGACTTGCTGTTAGTGCTAATAGTAGCAGTTGTTAAGTTTCTAGAGGTAGCTAGCATACACAGAGAACTCTTGCGAGGGCGGTAGATTGTGCAAGAGTATATCCTGCAGCTCGCAAGATATCTCTTAGAATAGTAGGGGCGTTAAGGTGCTTTTTAATATTTCTCCTTTTAGTGCTAGGCGCTAGAATTCTGCGAAGTAGGTGCTAAAATTAAAGTTCTTCTGCTTTAGGTTAAAAAGCTTATTCTAAGCGTTCTAGGTACGGTTTAGGTCCCTAAACGCTTGTTCTAGGTATTTAAGCATCTGCAGGTAGTCTACGAACTAGGAGATCTTGTATTAGATCTTAGGTAGCATAAGCTAATAGGCTCTTCTAGTTAGGCGTCTAGCGACGTAGGTTATCTAATTTGTAGCTAGGGGAAAGCGGTTAGCGTTAGCAGTTATCTTACTATAGATCTGCTAGACGAAGCGCTAAAGGTTGTCTTAAGTTCTATTAAATTCCTTTAGGTTAGGTATTTTCTCGCTGAGGCTAGCGGTTCTAGAATGTAGGGCAGTAATAGGCGTAGGCGGTCTCGCTGGGTTATCTGCACGAGCCTCAGTAGTAGCTTGAGGGGATAGAGTAGAGGCGCGGGGGGTCTGTACAGCGGGGCTTGCGGCGGCAGCGAGGTGAGATTTCTCGATCTCGAGCTGGGTAATCTGCTTCTAGTCGGCGGCGAGTTGCTCCTTCTAGTAGCGGATAATTCTATCGCGCTCGATAACGGAGGTCTAGAGTTCTTGCTCAGTAGTGCGCACGTCGCTTAGGGAGCCCTCAAGACTCTGTAGGTACTAGTAGTTATTGCGCAGGTACAGCAGCTAGGCATTGGGGTCTCTCTGCACCTCAGCTACAAGGGCTTCGGCTAAGTCTAGGGTTGCGGGAGGTTCAGGGCGATCTATAGCAGGCCTCGCGGAGACGGGCACCTATAGATAGGAGCTACGTAATGTCACGGGGTTAGTAGGCAGGGAAGGTAGGTGCACGTGATTAGTATATTCACTACGATATCGCTGACAGTACGGGGTCAGGCTAAGACAAGGACGTAGCTCAAGGAGCGTACGACAGGGCGCGTTCGCGCAGGAATTTCAGCGGTCGCGCAGCTGCTCGCTTAGCAGCTTGGCGCGCTCTAATAGGCTATCTGGGTCAGCGCCGTGACAACTATAATAAGTATAATAATAAAACCTGTCTATTCTTTATACCTATTGTAATCTGTTTTTATTCTCTTGCTAAGTCTATAGCATCTTAGATGCTTCTAGCATCTGCAGATGTCTTAACATCTAGTGAGGACCTAGCATCTTGAGATGTCTAGTCTTGGCGAGATGCTACTTCACTTGATTAGCGCCCTGCGGTGATTATTACCTTCTGACGTGGTCGTTGGTTGACGTTCTATCCCGACTCCTTCATCCAGGGTGGAGTTCCTTTTGTTGCTTGTAACACACTTCCACCATCTGTGTTTGCCCAAGCGAACAAACACTACAGCACTTTTATGACCTTCGCCTTCAAGCTTAACGACTACCTGTAGTCTGTACCTCGTGGTGTGCTTATGCCCGACGTTCGGTGCATGGATCCTTCTGTCGATATCAATGTCTGAGAAGAGGAAGTTGTATTTCGTCTGCTCGTCAGCTGATAGTTCTCGCTCATATGTCTTGATCTCGATGTACAGCATCTCTGGCGTCTTCATAAATCTTTTCCAGGTGCAGTTCTTTTCTGTGTCTTTTCTGTGTCTTTTCTCCACTTGACACATCGCTCTTTGTCGCAGGCCAAGCGCTGTCGGAAACCTTGTTACTAATTAAGCCGTGCGATGACCTTCATATAAGCTCAGCTACGACGCCGCGAACAATAACAATACATACACTCTCACTTAGTTATTTTTTCTACAATACCTGTACCCAACCGTATGACCCTCTTCATCTGTCTCTGTGTACTTCCCATAGGCAATTACAAGTTCTTGAACTGTTACTAGCGACTGGTTCGGAGTTAAATGAAGCGTTCCGTTAGGAGTCAGACGCAGTTCTTAGTCCGGAACGTCCGCTTGAAGCTCCCTATGTAGACATGTATTGCACACATGAGCGAATGCACTATAGACCTCGAAAATCTCACCTATAACTGGGTGCGATGCAACTCCAGCCTGGCCACTGAAACTTGCGCCTTCGCAAAGGGAACCAAGGGTAAACCGGAACTAACAAGAGTACGCGCCATCACTAGAGGCAATTTGCTCGCCATTCTCCCCTCCTTTAGCAGCTAGGATAGCTTGGAAGTAATACGAATGCACAACACTTGCCTGCCCCTGCTGCATCAGTTTCACTATGTGGACGAAGTCTTCTAGATTAACATTGCTGTATTTGTTGCGATACGAGGTTAACTAGCGATGTTCTGTGCAATTCTCTTGCCATTTGCCCTAACTCGCCCGTCTTCTCATCTAGATCTGTTCTCATCTGAATAGATGTTCGCGATGGCTTCGATGGTCGTGTTACCGCCACTCAGAATGACCCCAATGTTCCACCCATCATGCCCTGCTTCAACCTCTATTCTCTTCCTTAGATCCTCGTTGTACAAAAGCGCAGCCAAACCGACCACTGCACTAGGTTCAACGAAGCACTTCATCCGTTCAAGCACCAGCCTCATCGCGTCTCGGATATTGTCCTCCGTCACTGTATACAACCCGGCTACGAAGCCCTTATCCGAGATGATCTTCCACGTCCAGTCGCCTAACGGCGTTCGTAAACCGTCAGCGATGGTCAACGTGCTCACTTCAGTAATCCGTTCGCCACTTTCAACGCCACGCCTCGCGTCGTCAGCACCCTCAAAGCCTGGCTCTGCTCCAAACACTTTGATACCAGCATCCTTCAGTGCTATTGCGGTTCCCGAAAGCATGCCTCCACCTCCACAAGGTGCAATAACGGCATCTAAGCCAATTTTCCCTAAATGTATCGTTTCATTTCCGCGTAAAAGATCGACAACTTGTTGCTCGAACTCCACCGCCATAGTTCCCTGTCCAAGTATAATATCTGGATGATCGTATGGGGGCACAAAGATCGCACCCGTCCGTGCTATGACTTTCGCAGCAACCTCATCCCGTTCCTTAGATGTAGAGCCGCTGAAGTGAATGAAAGCACCCTGAGCTTGCGTGCTAGCGATCTTCGATGGTGTAGATATCGTTGGCATCACTATATGCGCCGGAATCGAAAATTCCTTCGCAGCCAAAGCGAGTGCCTGCGCATGGTTGCCTGCAAAAGTGGTTAACAGACAAGAGATAATTGCGCATTGGCTTTGAGGACTGCTCCGGGGCTAACTCTAGCTCCTTCGAATAACCGGACTCACCAGAAGAGTGCGTGATAACACCACTAGTTCTAACATCCTGAATCCCTCGCTCCTCGATCAACCTTCGCATCGCATGGAAAGCCCCTCGAACTTTGAAGGCTCCGATTCGTTGAAAGTTCTCGCATTTGAAAAAGAGTCGCATGTTTGGATCAGCCGGCTTTTGCCCTTCCCATGGAGTGCCCACCAAATCAGACGGTGATTGCGGCGTAGACGTTAACAGGGACAATGTTGTATTAGTTTGAATTGGTGTTAGGTGAACATGAGGCTTTATGAGCTCGTGAGCTTTGAGGACTGAGTCGCGTGTCAGAGGTAAGGAGTGTGCTGTAGAAGCCATAGTATGTCCCTATTGTGATGGGCGCGTGTGTGTAGATGCAAGGAGACGGAGGAGAGGTTGAAGAGCTTCGCGGGAGCCGTTTATAAGTTCAAAAGAAGTAAAAGGGACTTAGCGCACGCGGTGAGATCTCGGCTATGCTAACCTGTTATTTACACTTGGACAACAAGGAGCTTTGATGACACCTTTTACGTAAATGATTCAAGGAGGCGACTGCGGATGCGGATATCAAGTACGCCACTCATTCGTTCACCCCACACGCGACCAATATGGTGTGAAGAAGCGACGATTGCGCGTACCTTCTGGTGAATCTAGCGAGCTCGACGCAAGTCCGCGAAAACCTCCACTAGCACTAGAGGCTATTTCATAGACACCTGTTTAGATACAAGATTCACAAGCGTCTAGAAAAGCGTACACACGAGCCCAAGGATGCTCAATAAGCGCAAATTCTGGATATTTCACGTTGCTAGATGCATTCTGCAAAGCCAAAACCAATCCTCATTCGCTTGAATGTTCTTCCAACACATCCAGTACATCTAGGTCCCGCCGACAGAGCACCACTGGGCCCTACAGATGGGCTGAAGCCTCGATCTCAACATCGGCACCGAAAGGAAGCTCCTTTACCGCAACACAAGTTCTGATCTTATTGGCAAGAGTTAGACTATCCCCGTACTTCAAGAGCAGCGAACTTACAGGACGAACACCTTGGGTGAAGAAGCGAGCATATGCTTCATTCATGGCAGAAAAGTTGGCCATGTCAGTCAAGAAAACATTGAGTTTGACCTTCTTGTCGTTAGTGTCGTCGATATTAGTATCGCAAGGTCTGGAGATGACGAACAGCCTTGTCTAGATCAGTTCCTGCAGCCTTGAGGATGTTCGAGATGTTGGTCAGGATCTGGGTCTGTGATGGAAGTACCGTTAGCAACTCCCAAAAGGAAGGCCGCTCACACCTACTGTCCGATCTGCCACGGAGCCTTTAACAAATTCTCCCGTTACGGGATCAATTGCTAGACTTCCGGATACGTACACCATATTACCGACTACAACACCTTGGGAGTAGAAAGGCAGAGGAGCTGGTGCGCCCTCAGTTCGAACTTCTCTCTTCGTAATTCCGGTCATTCTGAAGCGTTGACAAAGAGGGATGAAAGTTGCAGTCCACGGTTCTGGAGTTTGATGGAATAATGCGAGGCAATACGAACGTCAAAATGCTCTTTAGGTATGCCAGCATTCGATCTGAAAACTATCTGCTCGTGACTAGACTTAGCTAGCACCTGACACACATACAGATGGTGTCATCCACTCTTTTCATCAGCCCGGAGGTCGCTAATGCTAGCTCCGTTTCCTGAACTGGTGCGCGGGTGCGACAGACCCACGACCTTTAAATATTTGCCTGAGCTTTCTGCACGCCCAAACTGCACTAAGCACCCCATTGAACTAGCAAAAACATCGTGCATTTAAGCAGAGGATCGCAAGGGTCGAGATCATCAGACTGATGCAAATGATCAGCGACGCCTTGCTATGTCTGGTGCTCGGATCCGATGTACACTAGCGGATCTCACGGCACCCGGTAGGCTGAACTCGCTGAGTTGCGTCGCAAAACAGTCATACACATGCGCTCAGTCGCCTGTCTAAGATCTCGAAAAAGCTGTCCGATAACATATCTTCAACTTCAAGCTCGCTTACTGTCTTGCTGTCCTTGCTAGTACTACCGGATTTGAGTGACTGGCTTCACCACAACTTTCCAAGCTGCGAATCCGTAGTTCTCTTTCCTCGACTTGGCGACTATGGAACTCCAGAGTGTATCGAGCATTCTACGCAAAGATGTCAAAGTCGCTTGCGTTCAGTTTGCCAGTGGTAAGATCTGCCGGATCAGAGTCTGGCACTTAGCTAACTAACCACTTCCTAAGGTCAATGCAAAACGACTAACATCGAGAGGGCTCGCGCCCGCGTCATCGAAGCTGCAGCCAATGGTGCCGAGATCATAGTTTTGCCAGAATGCTTCAACTCACCCTATTCGACTTCTGCTTTTTCTGAGTACGCAGAGGTCCTCGATCCCGTCCCACTTGACGAGCAGGCTTCGCCAACCTTTTATGCTATGTCTCGCATGGCTAAGGACTCTGGAATCTATCTAATCGGCGGCAGCATCCCCGAGCTCCAGAAAGATTCCAACAGAATCTTCAACACCAGCGTAGTATTCTCTCCGCTAGGAGAACCTCTAGGGTTACATCGAAAGGCTCATCTATTCGATGTAGACTTCCCTGGAATGTCATTTCGCGAATCGGATGTACTATCTCCTGGTAATGATATCACGATTATTCATCTGGAGGAGTTTGGCAAGATTGGGCTTGGCATCTGCTTTGATATCCGTTTCCCGGAGCCAGCGATTATTGCGGGGCGATCGGGAGCTTTCTGCTTGATATATCCCTCAGCATTCAACAGTACCACAGGTCCTCTACACTGGGATCTGCTCAGCCGCAGTCGAGCTCTGGATAACCAGATGTATGTTGTGATGAGCTCGCAGTCTTTTGATCCGGGATCAGAGTACCCGGCTTGGGGTCATAGCATGGTCGTAGACCCATCGGGACAGGTACTGGCATCGGCATCGCGGGACGAAACTATTGTATATGCCAATCTTAGCGACGAGCTGTTACAGCGGAGCCGCCGGCAATTGCCTCTGGCCACGTCGAGAAGATTCGATCTTTACCCTGACATCAGTGGCAAGGGTAGTCAAGAGACGGCGACGATCGAGAACAACCGTCAGCTGTCGAGCGGCAGATAGCTACCAGCAGTCGAGAGAGGCGGTATCCTGTTGGAAATAGCGCATTCGAATATTGTCAACAGCTTAGATACCGACAGTGCGTGAGAAGGCTTGTCCTGTGGAGATGTCGTGCCCGTATACCAATAGTGATGTGAAGTTCTGACTATTGTACGAGCCATACTTGCCAGCGCCACCTTCGTCCTCGATGCAAGAAAACAAGACATCTGATATGCGGCCTTTACGTCGCTCTCCATGGACGATGCGGAGCGCTTGTAGACTTTGCAGCACAGGGAAGCTACCTTCCTCCAGTGCGTCGGTAGCGTATCTCTGCTCTAGCCAGTTTTGCATCCACAGACTGATCCTGATGTCTAAAGGACCTAAAGCGCATGGCAGGAAAAGCGTGGAAAGTCCAATGACAAATGTGTTCAGTCTCGTACAATCGGTCCAGTTTAGGCCTGCGGTTATACGTGCAAGCATAAAGGCCCAGGAATTAGCTTCTTGAATCGAGTCCACGTAAGAGTTTGGCGAACGACACTCGGGATCTTCAATGGCGATTTGGCTTAGAAGAAGGCGCGACACGACATAATAGGCGTAGTTCATTGCAGCTTGATGCGACACAAACCGTAGAGGTCGCACATCCAACGGCTCCCACTCTGAATAGAACGCTGTGACAGCAGACTGCTCCATTGCCTCGATAGGCTGCTCGGATGTGGCTAATCCCTTGTACCAGCGATCGAGAAATGCACGCTGGGCAGTGACCGCCGGTGTGGCTGACCAAGCAGCCTTGTAAGGTAAAGCAGGCCCGAACACCGGCTTGCCAAAGTGGTAGTTCTTGCTCAATCGCTCCTTTGAACCAAAGTGAATAGCACCCCACCCTTCCAGAAGAGCGATAGACTTCAGGCGGCAGCATTCGCAAAGGGCAGACATGATTGCAGCGCGTGAATCAGTCGACTTCTCCAAAACGTCCATTAGCCACAAAGAACAGGCCTGCGACTTACTACTCAGATGGAAATCAGGTGTGCTGAAGTGAAGGCGAAGCCACCAGCTGTGTGCCTTGGCTTGAGTCCAATTTGCGATGAGTTCGCAAGCCCAGAGGTGGGGTATGGTACCGGCTGTTTCCAGGTAGCTTAACAGGGTAGTGGCACCCATTGAATGAGAGCCGAATTGACGGAAATTTCCCATCAACAACTCAAAATGAGCAAGGAGGACCGTTGATGTTAGGATGAGATCGATGTTTGCTGTATGAACATCAACATAACAACGCGCCAGGCTGATGAGCACCGAGCCATAAACTTCAAGCGACACGATCTGATGGCCTGGATCAGGCTTGAAAGATAGTCCTGGCGTTTCCGCAGGATCGAAGGGCTTCTCTCGAGGAATCCTTCGGCTCAGATGACACGCTGAGAGTGCTAGGACCGCGTCTTGGACGATAGAAGGCAAGTCACTCCGAGTACCTAGTCTACCGAGAGCTGGGTGAAGCGCTGGAATGCAATGTTTCTTCCACATGTCGAGGTAGAAAGACCGTTGTCCCGATCCTTTGGTGATTTGCAGCGGTGCATCATTGTCTGTGAACGAAGAAAGTCTTGGCCGCCACCACGAAGTACAGAGACTAGCGGCAACTACGGGACGCTGGGATTCATCTGATACACGTGGTTCGCCACCTACTGTCGCTGAGCTGTCGCTCTGGCGTGGTTCGTAGTTTGGAGAGTTGTCCTTCTCTGCCCGAATGCTTGAAGAACTAACATAGCCCGAAAAGCAATTTTGGCGCATCCACAATCCCCATCGTCGCGAATCTGCTTCGATGTCGGCAGTGTGTTCAAACGAAAGTCTCTCTTCCGCTTCGTCTCCAAGTATTTCTGAGGACCAACCGACATGCTCAGAAATCTTTGTGTTGTTCACAACTGAGTCATCAGACGACTGACAGTTTGAGGCAGACAGCAACCGGACCTTTGAGCCAGAGGCAGCGTCGAAGGAAACAGCATGGAACGTGATTCTACTCGGAGGCCTTTCGCAACGTTTACCGAGTTTCACGCACTGGCTGCAGTCTGGCTGCTTTTCATCACACTGTCGGCGATTAGTTCGGTTGGCCTCTTCGCGATGGGGTGCGCGAGAGCGCTGTGCGGACGACTAGCCTTTTTGCGTCGGAGCCGACAGCTGCGACATCCTGTCCTGGTGCGTGTAATCGCTGTCTTCTTGCGACGTGAAGGCGCAGGCGGATACATCGAGTTAGATAGTGGTAGGGTTGAGAAATCGCTTGACAGGCGTCAAAGTGGCCCTGTTCGTGGGAGTCACTTCCTGGATCTGAGCACTTGTATTGAGGTGATACTAGAATGATCAGCCATCGTTCATGATCTGTAGCGCGAACGCGCGATAGGATGAGCGAGATGGCGGAGATTTAGAATCCGAATCGGCCCACAATTTCCACAGCAGATACTCCACTGAGACTTTGCCAGATGCGGTGCGCGGGTGCGACATTAGTGGGGCATCGCTCCCCACGGCGGTGTTCCTAAGCACCGACTCACAATGAATCGGCGGCGGTGCAATCAGTCTTCAACATGCTGCGTTCTAAGCAATAGCTTTATTGCTATGTTATCCTCCGTTGCTAAAGCTTTTCTAGATCTTCTGCGCTTTGCGTTCTGTCTACCCCGCCTCACCCGACTTTGTTGCTGGCGACCGCGTATTTCGCATCATTGTGTGCGCTTTTGAGTGGACGCCATGAGCCTAGAGAGCCATATGCGTCAGCGCTCCAGCTATGCGAATGCGGGGCGTGTTCGAGGCTTCCGCAAACCCTTAGCACCTAGCGTAGGGTAGGGTGGCGGCTGGGCGTTGATCGACCCGCTACAACAAACTTTCGCGTGCATTATACCCTGCAGCGGCTGTGCGCGCCCTCACGTGAGGAGCGTCAAAATCTCTCCTCTGCATTTGCGTTACGATGTCCTAACAGCAAAAGCAGTAGTTAGAAACCTGACGGTGGCGTTGCGATTGGACAGCGATTCTCTAAGAAACGATCTATCCAGAAACCTCATCACTTCAGATTGCTCATCCCAATTGTTATGTCTCTATCACGGCGTATCACTACCACTGAAAATGGCTCAATCCCAGTGCAAACCCAGGCAGTCCCTTAGTGACAGGGTTACCTATTTTTGGATCCTAGTAGCTTCGCTGTTCGAAACCCGAGAAGAGTATCGGAGATTTGAACGTGCAGGCAGCACATTAGCCTTCAGACCTAGCAGATCTATGGGACATAGTATCTATACGTGACAAGCTGTGTCTTTGAGATTAATGCATCTCAAACTATGTCTCTGAAGATCAACTAAGTCACCTACGAAGTCATAGTTCAAAATAAAAACAAGTGACTAGAGCAAGCTTCTCCTTGCTTAAGGATCCTTGCAAAGTAGACGCCGCTTGTGTAGTAAATTTAATTTGTTCGTATTAATGCTAGCTAGCTGTTCATCATCTCTGTCCATTTTACTATAAAGTCAATAATGATTTCTTCAAACCAAATCACAGCCTAGTAACACAACTACACTCAACATGCTCATCCCGACTCTAGTTAAAATCTTTTCTTTGTCTGCAGTAGCTTCTGCATCGTCGACATCCCCCGATAGGTTGAAATCCAGCTGTACAAACCCGCCTGTTCGGAAGGAATGGCAAACTCTGTCAGCAGAAGACCAGGCCGGATACATTGACGCTGTCCACTGTCTCGCTACGAAACCATCGCTTGTCGCTAGTCTGAACACAACACTATTTGATGACTTTCCTCGAATCCATTACGCCATGGACAGGCAGAGTGAGGAAGCTTTGCAACGCGGTTGGCATGTGCTAATTTACGTTCTAGTTCACTTTGTTGCGTCTTTTCTTCCTTGGCACCGTTGGTTCGTTCATGTGTACGAGTCAGCCTTGAAAGACTGTGGTTACAAGGGTGTCGCAACGTAAGTCTCACGACATAATAAGATTAAAAAATGATTATTGATTTCACCTTATATAGTTACTGGGACTGGACTAAACATTCATCTGATCCCACAAATGATCCCATGTGGAGTCCAGTTACCGGATTCGGAGGTAATGGAAGCCCGGATCATCAACAGAAGATCGGGCGCTGGAACTACTCTTGTGTAGTAGACGGTCCATTTAAAGATCTTCGTCCGTCATACTTGCAGTCCGATTACGCACCGCATTGTCTCACTAGAGATTTCAACAATGGAACAGACTACTACCCCGGGAACATGTTTGGACCAAGCCGCAGTCCCGAAAAGATCGCAGAGATTAATGCCTATACCAAATACACTGACTTCCATCCAAACCTTGAGAACATCCCACATGGCTCTGTTCATTCCTCTGTTGGAGGTGATATGAGCCCAGCTACCTCGCCCAATGGTCAGTTCGACGCTTGCACATCGATTCGTTGCTGACACAACGTAGATCCGCTCTTTTTCCTACACCATACACAAATCGACCGTCTTTGGTGGTTGTGGCAGCAAGAGAAACCCGAGGAGCGCAACTTCATGTTTGGCGGTATCAGGACCGAGGACCAGAACGATGGCGTCGTTCCTCCGCAAGCGACACTTGACGACGTCATGACCATGAGGGAGCTAGCAGAGGATGTTAAGGTACGGGATGTTATGACTACGGACACTGATCTGCTATGCTACAGATACTAAATCTGATGCTGTATATGGTAGAAATACTAGGCATAGCTAGCGCATAGAGAATTACTATTGCTGTTACTCGGCACATCTTACGGATCTGAAAATTTTACATCGTAGATGTTAAGTATAACTACAGAAAACATGCTCGCACTGATGACCAAGAGCAGCAACCTCTTCAACAGGTAAGTTTTGGGTCACGACAGGGCAGCCGAAGGCTGCGTGAGCATGGTTCTCAGCATAATACGCATCGATACTATTTTGTGTTTTGCTTCAGAGCCGCTTGCTGTTGTTACATTAGGGTTCGCAATGGTTCGAAACTAAATCGAAGGGTAATGCACAGTCTATGCGCAGCCAACAAGCCTACTCTACCTCTAAGCAACTGCACTATTTTCTACCAGATCCTACTCTGAGCGTAGGTTCTACTCTCTGTTTTTCGCGTTAGCGCAGGTTCTACGCTCCTGTTCGTGTGTGAGGAGTATTTGGGCAGGCATTGAGATGTAGGTATAGGCTTGCATTGAGACGAATTTGTGGAACATCGTGAGATTGGCCTGCTATATCTGAAGATCTCAGTCTGCTGCTGCGCCATAGCATTTTGAGCCAATAGCCCTGCCTTGCAAAGCTCTCACTCTGCACTTCAATATGGCAGAATGCAGTGTTGTCAGGACGCAGCCCTGCACCACTACGCCATGCAACCAAAAAGGTACGTATGATCAGTGAACTACTGATCATGGTGCAGGATAGTATATATCATCAGCCAGGCCTGGCAATTTGGCGTTGGTGATTATCTGGCGCACGGGCACTGTAGATCACATCAAGCTCCACGGTCAGTTGAGCTGTTGCCGATTACGTTCATAAGTAGCCTTCGGTTGAACGGACCTCTGTGTTTAGCAGCACAAGCACGTCCAGCTAGCGGACGCCCTGCCACCGGCAAGTTTTCAAGTGTCTGATTGGTCGAGTCGGTCCGTTATACTAGATACGCCCTGCGGCGGGGGCAAACGGCACGTGCGTCCGTATTGGTCAGCATTGGCTCTAGGCCGAATGCACCTTTGTGCTTCTGACGACACACAACGGGCGCCCTGTGTTTTTTCGTGAGGAACCTTGCCATTGTTAGGGGCCTCAATTTCTATTTTACGAGATGTAGGACTCTGCACACAAGACACATTCTGAATTTGTAAACAACAGATCTAAACACAGCATGGGAGTATCTATATCTGTCGCACTGTCAGATGCGAATTCTGCAGACAGAATGACTAAAAGAGAATGTATGTGTTGTGTTGCTCGTAGCATTCTAGTTCAGCTTATGTGAAGGTCGCCGCACGGCGTTGTTAGCAACAAGGTTCATGTTCTCGCCGGGGCTTGACCTGCGACAATGTTATTCCGAATATGTACAGGATTAGGGCTGCAGTGCCGGCCGCAACACTGGTTTCTCTCCTGAAAATACCTTGGGTATTGGAAAGAACGTACCTTACCAGCCGTGTTGAAATGTCGAGTTAAAATGCCGAGTTAAAATGCCGAGTAGAAGAGTACTGTAGTGCCGGAGGGGGAGTGACGTAGGAAGACACTATGTTAGACTAGCTCACACAAGAGAGCTGAAACAAGACTAGCTCTATAAGGACAATTCGAGCCGGAAGCAACCTTCTGTCTAAGCTATAGGTACCATTGTTAAGCCTTAAAGTCACGAATGGTCGCGCCTTTAGTATTGCAGGCAGTAGGTCAATGAGAGTGCCAGCGTAACTGTTAGTCCAACCTTACGCTATCTGTCTTTTAGAATGGAGTGATACGGCGCGAATTAACATACACATCAGCTCTCTGCCAAGCTTGTCAGCCAAGTATAGTTCGGGCTTAGCAGCTAGATCCGTGTAGGAATCAACTGACAGAGCAAATGACATGCCTCAATTAGTATAAACTCGTGCTTACCTGTAGGATTGATATCTGTAGAGTGGCGGCGAAAGATGTGCGCTTGGGAGAGGACGGATGGCAGGATAGAGAAAGGAAGGGCCGGAGGAGGGACTGAGCTACTTCAACAACTCTTCCAAGTTTTCGACATGGTTTAGGCCATCCCCTTCAAAAGTCTTAAATTAATTGGCTCATGGTGTTTCTCCTCATCGGTATATAGCTTGCAGCCGTCTTCTTTGCAAGGTGACCTTCAAATTTCCCTGCAAGCTTGACTCTCTTTTGGGCCAATCTTCCTAGTTAGGAAGTCTTTAAGGGCTTTGAGCACTCAATGACTCAAGAGGGTCGGACCAAGGTTCCTTACAACACTGCCATTTTGGCTCGACTGTATGACAATCGAGAAGTCCCTTATCCGCTATCACACCCCCTGGTCGACGCCCTTTATCTATACATTCTTGTACCCTTCCGAGCCACACACATGTTGACGGTCAATATAAGCATTGTAACTTTCAGCATTCCATGCCATCGTGGCCAGGTATTCTACCACGTGGAGGCGTTCTATGCTCAATACTGCCAGGGCCTGGGCAAGAAGGGTTTCATGTCGACGATTGCTAGCACTGCGCAGAGAGCATATAGCATCTACATGAGCCACCACATTTGGAATCTCGATATTGCCGACGCCTGGTCAGTTATTCCAATCCCTGTGATGATCTTTCATCCGAGTCTAATCGCGTCCTGCAGGCGGCAAGTACAGATTCCTGAGGCGGTTTTGCAGCAGGATTTAAACTGCTCAGAGAGATCGGCCCTGATTGTCAGTCATCTTGTCAGTACCTCCGAAGCTAGCCAGGATGTAGAAGAGATTCTTCGATGGAGCCGCATTCGAACTGATACAGACTTCTGCTTTAAGCAACATTCGTTTTTGGACGAGATCTCAGAGCGAACGTCGGATTCTAGCTCAGCTCAACAAGTCGTCAAGCACTCCGTTAACCACAAAGAAGTTCGAAGCAAACACGCACTCACGATTCACAATGTGGCGGAAAGATTTCTAGCTAGCTTTCGGAACGCGAATTTCTCTAGTATCGCTACCGGATTACAGGGCCTTCACCCGTCAGATACGGATCTTCCAGAGAACAGATGTTCCGAGCCGGCCATGCAAGCTTTTGAATGCTGTAAGTCGACAGCCGGCCAGACAAAAGAGCAGTTGAAGTACGCAACCTTCACTCGCTTTGTTTCCTTATGCTTCTTCCTTGTCTGGGAGGCAATCGCATGTGAACCGGAGAAGTCCGGTGCTCGAACGGTATGTGCGTTAAATGAAAGCCAATCGTGGTGTTGCACAATTAATCGTGGTTTAGATCAATGCAAAGATGAAAGAGGCAGGGTTCGAAGGAACTTCGAGGGGCCTGAAAACGCTCCGCGATGAAACTGTCTTCATCAATCAGCTTGTGGCTTGCGTTGAGAAAAAGTATGGGATAGGTGTTGCTTCGTTGGTCCTTTATCACATCTTCGGTATGAGCTTCCACTGCAAATCTTCCCCAAACGATGACTGAGTGAGTGCAGACTCTTCGAACTACCACCTTATCCGCCTTATGAATCGTTACGGTACTACCAAGAAAAGGCTGGCTATCGCGAGAATCTGCGAGCGTCTGGATGTCGTCGGACTGCGTGAAGTTTTTCTCCCTGTACTGCGGGTCCACGAGCTCATGAGAGAGCACATGCCCAGCCTTGAGTGCGTCCCGTACTCGTAGAATGTGGTCTTTTAGTAACAGTTTGCAGCAACAGCGAGATCGACCTGGCGATTGGACATTCAGAAGTTCATCCAACCATCACGACAGAACACGGCTCTTGATCACTTGGTGTGCATCATGAGCAGGCCTTTTGCGATGCTCGAGCATAAGCTTACGACCACGGTAAAGTAAGAGCGTTGAAAATCGCCTATCTCGCTTGCAAAGAGATAGTTTTAGAACTGCTAGGGTGCTAAAGGCCAATCGGTAGCAGTTCGGATTAACCTTCGGCTGAGATTTAGGGTTCTGGCCTGAGCGTTGTTCGGACGCGTGTCGTTGCGCACGTAATCGAGATGTCATCGAGGGTTTACCTACTGCGCTCCAGCCTATTACAATAGCAGTTGTATAAAGCTTTGAATACTTAGAAGCGAATATAATTGAAGAAACTAAGTAAGCAGAAAGGCAGCGACGTCACTCAAGCATAGTTATCATCGCTGTTTCTAACATGCACAGAGCCTCTAATGGCTGTAAGAATTTGCGAGGGCGTTCTCCCGTGTCCGTGCGCCCAACGATCGAGGCACAACATCTATACAATATTTTAGCGCATGATAGGTCAAGAACCATGCCAGGAATTGATAATGCGCTCAAGCAGATCTGTAACTTAGAGCCAGAAGAAAACTTGTATATACTACAGTTGCGAAAAAACAACAGCGTTGACGGCTCAACGTTGAGATGCCATCATCAACGGGGTCAGGTGCCACGACACGTTGCGAACCAACAGCGACAGAAGCTCACGCCATAACAAGAAGCAGACCTTGTAAAGCATCTAGAAGAGCTTATAACGCGTTGCTTGCCATCTACAAGGCATATGATACCCAATTTCGCCTCTGCAGTTGCCTCAGGTCCTTACTCTGAGAGCTGGGTTACGCACTTCCTCCACCGTCACAGCAATCAGATCATCTCTCAATGGGTGACAGACATGAACTCCAATCTCCATAACGCTGAGTCTGTATACAAGCACAGGGTGTACTTTGACATATTCCGGCAGAAGATTGCCGAGTACGGCATTGAGCCAGCGCACACATACAATATGGATGAGAAAGTCTTCACTGTCAGAGTGCTACTCAATCGAACTCTAGAACTACTGCAGAGAGAACAAAACTATCGCTCTTTGCATGCCACCGCGCTCATCGCACCTCCTGCAGCCTCTTGACGTCGTCCCCTGGTCGCTGCTGAAGCGCCACTACGGCGATGAGATCTCGCTCTTGGCACGCAGCCGCGTTTACGATGTCAACAAGAAAACATTCTTACCGGCCTTTGAAATAGCTTTTGATAAGACATCTATAACAGAGAATATCTCGGCAGGGTTTCGGGGGACTGAGCTATTCCCACGCGACCCTAAAGTTGTGCTATCGAGGTTGGATGTGTAGCTACGGACGCGAACGCCACCTGCACCAGGCACTGCCGTCTGGGAGGCGCAAACACCGCGTAACGCCCGTGAGATAGAGGCGCAATCCACGCTAATTCAAGATCGCATACAAAACTATTGGAGATCTTCAGCAGGTTCATTAGATGAGCAGGTTGAGCAGCTGAGTAAAGACGCCTAGCAGATCGCTTATAATATGGTGTGAGTGCAGGAGGAAATGGGCCGCCTTCGAGACGATGTTAACACGCCCACAAGGCGCAAGACCCATAAAAAGCGGTACGTGCGCGCAGAGACTCTTGCAGTTGATGAGGTATCTGACTTCGTTATTGTAGAGGAGAGTGACAGTCGTGAGGACAGCGAGACACCTGCGAAGAGGGTGCGCGTAGAGAGGCGCTACGGCCGTTGCAGCGAGATTGGGCATAGATGCCGCAGCTGCAAGGCAGAAAACGAGGATACAGAAAACAGCGATGCTTCTTAATAACACTGCAGTAACCTCCCTGCCTGTCTCACAAAGAGCTCTATAGGCCGAAAACGGCCAATGATGCGCTGTGTTGGGTTGGGACATCTGCTATTCTTGCACTCTCATTGCCTGTTCTCGCTCTCACCATGTTGTTCACCGCGAAGGGAGCGAGGTTATTGTGCATAATGTAGTAATTTGCTGTAGATTTCGTGTTATGCTGCGCGAGCGCTACGCTGGCTCGATCTCTTTGTTAAACTGCGACATTGATGTTTCGTACTTTGAGGCATAGAGGCTTCAAGACAGCCTTTTGGCTACTGTATATATGGATAGAGTATTTTGCTAGAGGTCCACATAATTGCGAATCGTCACCTGGCAGCGTTCAGGAAGTGTTAGCGTTAAAGCGGCGTCTTGCGGAACACATTTCGGATACTCCGCGGACCATCCCGACAGGAGATAGCCATCCCTTCGCCTCGGCTGCACGAGGCGTAGCAGCTTGGGTGCGGCGTGGGCGAAATTACCATAGATACCTAGGTACCTGCTCTAGCTGCTTTGCAATGTGGTAACTTGTTACACGACATCGATGCAGCTTTATCGGAATATTCTGCCCTTTGGATAACCAGAACTACTATTTCACAGTGCCCCATAGCCACATAGTTGTGAGACCGTGTCTCTCTATCACCTAAGCGAGAGCCAACCTGCTCTTGCATGACGTTGCATCTACATGGCGTGGAGCCCTGCTAAGTTCATCGCCTTGTCACTGGCACTAATGTCCCTCGCTCTCGTCTCTGTGGCGTTGAGATTTTGGGCGCATACGAAATCGGGAAACCGGGTCGGAGCCGATGATGCGCTTATAATTCCCGCTTTGCTAAGTAAGCCAGATAGTTGACTCGAAAAATGATGGAACATCTGATAGCTGTACAGATCTGCATTGTAGGGATGGCGGTGACTGAGGTTATCGGTTTGTGTGCATACTATCAGACGTCTGCCGTAACTGAAAAGCCTGTAGGTACAGAGTTCGGGGAGATGGCGCAGCATCAAACCAACATAATAGGGCCTGATGGTCCAGTATACACCAAGCAACTAGAGGTATACGAGAAGGTGGAAACTCCCACCAATGGAAAAGATTCGTCGCTGACAACTGTAGGCAAACTATACCTTGCAACTCCTTACCTTAGTTTTTCTGGGCTTCAGCAAGACGTCCGTCCTGTGCTTCTACCGTCGAGTCTTTGACGTGTATCCACGCTTCTTATTCGTTAACAACATCCTCATCGTCGTCATTGTGGCCTGGGCGGTGTCGTTGTTCTTTGTGGTTTTTCTCCAGTGCCGAGACCCCAGAACGCTCTGGACAACTTTCGAATACGCTCGGGTCGAATGTGTCGAGCCGCTGCCCTTTTACTACGCTGTTTCAATCAGCGGGTTTATCACAGATATCGCTATCTTGGTCTCACCAATCTCAGTCATCTATCAACTCCAGATGCATTGGAAGACCCGCACCGCGGCAGCATGTATCCACTTACTTGGTGCAGTGTGAGCTTTCTCGCTATATGATGATCAGAACACTGCTGATAGGACCTAGCGTATGCGGTGCCGGAATCGCACGTTTCGTCACCTTCATCGAGGTCGGCCGAAACGTCATGTACAACTTTGATGATATAACTTGTAGGCAAGACCCAGAACCGACGCTGATGTGAGAAACTTGACTGACTGTGGTCTAGACTTTACAACTCCGGTCTTTGCATGGAGCATGATCGAAAGCTCGTTAGCGTTAGTGGGCGCCAATCCTCCCCTTCTCCGACCATTGCTACATCGGATTGAGCACACCTGCTCTAGAGTTGGTTCATCCATTCCCTCGCTCCGGTCCAAATGTCCTGCAAGTAGCACTGCGACAGACAGTTCCGATGTAGAGTCGGAGGTGAAGATTGAAGAGGCCAAAGTGGGTGATGAGATTTCCATCCGAAGTTATGCTAGCTTCGAGTTACCTCCTCGTCGAGAGAGCGCTTTACGTCCAGAGGATCTTCTACAGATCCCACCTCAGGCTTCGATCATGAAACAAATCGCTAGTCCGGCCACTTTATACTCTTCGTGGACTTCTGATGAATGGGAGAATATTTAGCCTCACCTTTAGACCCAACTCGCAAATCAATCCAGAACTGGAAAGGGAGTATCCAGGAAGCGAACGTCTTGCAAGTTGAGTGGTTGTGCGTAGAGAAATATTCTTCAGGTTATCATAGTAAGTTCTCTGACCAAGCGTTACCACCTGGATGTGGGCCCAAACGTGACATTGGCGTAGAAGTGAGTCGGCAGAAAGACAATAATACTATCGACGTGCGGTGATTGTAGAGATTGCTGGATGGACGCGCAATGTCGGCGGAAAGTTGGATGATCTGTGTGACGACACCTGCACACGATACGATAATCACGAGGCTGGGAAATTCTCGTCCAAGCGCGTTGTACTAGGTCGCGACTACACGTCCAGCAAAGGAAACCGGGCTTCTATCATCTGGAAGGTTGACAGTCTAGGCGTCGTCCCCTATACCTCTACTGATGTTCATTGAGGTCATTTTATGTGAAGAAATGAGGTGCCTGGAAGCGAGCGGCTGGCCGGCATCAACGCACAGCGCGCCGCTCCTTCCCCGACCACGAGCATCCAACGCCACGCCGTCATCATGGGAATTTACAATCAGCCATTGCGCACAATACGTCGTGTGGCGTCATAAGAATAATTGCATCTCATTCTCCAACGCTCAGAAGGCGCAGAGCTCTGTTACTTCACGCTATTGCTCCTGATGACGACCCTCAGCGCGTCCCAATCCCCAGCCACCTCCTGAATTCGTCAAGCACGCATCGTCATATTTCACGACAGATCGAAACCAGTGTATCCATTCGCTGCTGTCTCTTTGATCGTCTTGTAGTAAGTCGGCACACCACCGAGGTAGATCAATGGCTCTCGAGTCTTTCCAGGAATGTTGGTACCCATATACCACTGTCGCTACGTCAGTACATTACATCTTTCTCGACCGAACAGCTTCACAAGACTTACCGAATCTACGCTGGGCAGCAGCGACGCGTTAGCAAGCTTCCAAATGAGCTCCTTCCACTGATCCTCGCTCTCCTTCTGCGCTACTACTTTACGCAGCGACTTCTCCTTCATATGGTTCATCGTCTGCAAGATCCAGTTGCCCTGGAGCTCAGCGCACGTGGGGCCATTGCACAGGGCAGTCGGAGCCTGCGGCCCGTATGTGAAGAACATGTTGGGGAAGCCCGCCACCGACATACCTAGATACGTCTTTGCGCCGTCCTTCCAATGCTCGCTCAAGCTCTCGCCTGACGGGCCGCGGATGTCGATCTGTTTCAGACCCCCGGTGATAGCGTCGTATCCGGTCGCGCTGATGATGTAGTCGAACTCATGTTCCTTGTCCGTGGTCCTGATGCCTTTCTCGGTAATCTCTTGGATTGGTGTGCCCTTTTCACCAATGTCGACAAGTGAGACGTTGGGCTTATTGTACATCTCGAAGTACTTGTTCTCCAGGGAGATACGCTTGCAACCAAAGGCATATGGTTGCTCCATAGGCGCTAGGATATCTGCGACCTTAGTGTCATTGATCTTCGCTCGTGTCTTGTCGCGCCAGAAGTTGTATGCCTCTCGGTTGGCTTCTTTGGTGAAGAGCATATCATAGTACGTTGCAAGCCAGAACTTGAAGTCGCCCTCGTTCCAGAGCTCTTCATACGTCTTCAGTCGCTGTTCTGGTGTATCATCAAAGGTTGACTTAGGGAGGAAGTTGAAGGAGAAACCCGAGAAGCTGTCTGTGCGCTCAGCAAAGAGTTTGGGATAATCCGGTTTGGGAAGAGCCTGTTTGGGAAGGTCATAATCGACTTGACCCATCGGTAACGACATGTTCGGCGTCCGCTGGAAGACAGTAAGATGGCCGGCAACATCGCTCAGCTCTTGGGCCAGCTGGATGCCAGTGGACCCTGTGCCGACAACGGCCACCTTCTTGCCACGAAGGTTAAGCTCTTCATGAGGCCAATACGATGGGTGCAAAAGTGTTCCTGGACGGAGTCAGTGAGGCTTACAGTAAGATCAATACGTACAAACCTTTGAAAGAGTCAAGGCCTTTCCAGTCGGGGATGTATCGCTTCGCCGCGAAGCCGGTGTTCAACAACAGGAACTTCACTCTGTACGTTTCGCCAGCCTTCGTCTTCACAGTCCACTTCGCTTCGTCATCACTCCATGCCGCAGATGAGACGAAGGTATTAAATTGTGTATCCTTCCTCAAGTCCCATACCTTGGCTACGTGGTTGAAGTAAGCCCGGAGATCCTCGCTACCTGGGAAGCGCTGCTTCCATGTCCAGTCTTTCCACAGTGCTGGATCGGAGAATTCGTAGTGGGGAATAGCGCTGTCGACACGTGCGCCGGGATACCGGTTCCAGTACCACACGCCTCCGTAGTCTGATCCATGCTCGATCAGTTTGACACTGTAACCTGCATCGCGGATAACCTTCAGTTGGTAGACGCCGCCGAAACCTGCGCCAACGACCAAGGCATCGAGTTCTTTTACCTGAGTACCGTTGGTGCCATTGGCGCCGTTAAATCTGCCGTTCAACGACAAGTTCTTGACATCATCAATAGAATCCATGTTGTGTTATGATTTCGCCTCCCGACGCACTGGTTGAGATAGATTATGAGGAGATATGCAGTCAATATCACTGCAGATGTAGCCGAAGAGAAGCAGACAGGGAGGACACCGTATGAGTGGGGAGGAGAGGATTGCTTGGACCTAAGAATCCAGGGCTTCTCGTGTACCTTAACTCTTTGAGCTGTCAATCGTCGGACGTTGGTGCACGGCGCACTACGCGCGAACAAACTACCATTCACGTTTTGATTATCGTTGATCAGGGGGATACCTGGACGAATCCTTGTTGTGAGTCCCGAACCAGAATGGTCAGAGAAAGTAGTACGGCAAGCCCCACCCGCTTTAACCTAGGCCCCCCGCGACTCAGCGCGGTACGGCTCGTCCGTTTGTTAGTTAACGGCAGTTTGTCTACCGAAACTATAAACTGGCTGAGCCCCGAATTCATTGAACGTAGCCCGTACGATATCGTGAAGATTACCTGAACGCAAACAGAATGCGCTCGCCGTACCTGCTTTTGATGGCGCGGGGTTGGGCTCGTAGAGTGGATGCCTGATTGCACAAATGCATGCAAAGGATTCGAAGCCCTGCAGCGTCGCGTGCATGGGCGGAAGGTTCGGGCCTTTTGCTGGGGCAACCAAACCGTTTATGTTATTTTGGAAAGGCGACGCGGGCGCTAGACAACTTGCAAAGCTTCATTCTGTGATCATGTCGTTTATTGAAGGAGACGTTTCCACTGTGTGTTCCAAGTTGGCAGATCTTACTGAATGTATTTACTCCAGACCATTCGGGTTCAAGACGCATCCGATGACGGCCCGCGAGTATGACCGTAAGTCTAGGATCGATTTCCTGGTCTATACGTGAAGAACGATGTGTATACTCGCGGAGTCATTTATCCGAGGGTAATTCGAGGGTCTTGAAGTCTCGAGTGGGTGGAGATGTGGGTATATCAGGGATATCGGAAGTGCGGTAGGTTCGTACAGAAGGCCCGACATCACTGACGCAGCCTCGCCAGTTCTTGCACAAGTAACAAGCCAGGGAGTGGTTCCGGGCACTACGGCATTGCAACGGCTCTTATTCAAGGACCTGTGTGGCTGCAACTGGGGGAACCGTACTGGATGGGGCTATTGCGGGACAGGATTACTCTTGAGAGGGGCGCGGAAGACATGGATCGGGGCCACCGGGTCAACGCCTTGAGCGTGGTCAAAGTGCTCAGTGGTCGGTGTTGCAAGACTTCAGGCACCGAAAGCTGGTTACTGGTCCTTGTGTTGCGATGTTGTTTGGCTGAGGCATGCACGTGTACTTCGAGCTGCAAAGAGGTTCAAAAGCATTATTCGGGAACATCCGTTTGAGGACATTTGCACGTACACCTCGCAATCTATTCTTTTATGTGCCACTGTAACGTGGTGTAATATTTATTGATTGTTGGTTTTCAATCTACTTGTTTCGCTATTGGCGAAGCTTCGCTGTTCTCCTACATACCAGAATCATGGCGGTGAGCCCACTGGAACAGGCTCTCATCGAGACATGGACTCTATACGGGTTTGGAAGCATCGCTATTATGCTGAGAGTTTTCTCGCGCACGAGGATGGTCGGTATCGCTGGTTGGCATCCGGACGACTACCTGATATTCTTTGCGTGGGTAAGTCGAATGATCCAACCAAAGAGAACTTGCGAAGAAGCGCTAACATTCGCAGGCTTGTTACACAGGCATGACGGTAGCTGCTCACATCGTAGGAGGAACCGGCGACACGTCGCATCTCACGATGCAAGAACGACTGTCGTTCACCCCTGAGCAAGCGGCTGCACGCCAAAGAGGCAGCCAGTGGTTCATGGTTGGTTGGTTCACCTACATCGGCTTGATCTGGACTCTGAAGTTGAACATGTTGTTTCTCTACAGACGAGTGGTCAGTGTAGTATGGGTGAAGATGTTCATCGTCCCCACCATGGTGTTCGTCGGCGCAACCGGCATCTCTATCTGGATTTTGCTCGGGTCAGCATGTCGCCCTTTTCACAAGATATGGCAGATTCTTCCGGACCCAGGCAGTGAGTAACGCTTCACCACTTCAGAGCGAAGTTGAAACTGACTGAACTTACCAGAATACTGCATGCCGCAGAGTCCGGCATTTTTGGTAACCATATTGGTGCTAAATCTGTTGACGGATGTATGCATCATGCTCATCCCCATCCCCATCATCATCCCACTCAAAATCTCGTGGGGCCGCAAGATTGGATTGATGATTATGTTCTCCGGCGCTATGTTCATCATGATAGCAGCAATCTTGCGGGTTTATTTCGTCATGGCGGTAAGTGTCTAACGAGCAAAAGGTCCACTTTCCCGCTAACAGTTATTTCAGCTTCAACAAGGCCAAACAGCGGCCATCTGGTCTTGTCGAGAAGATATTGTCGCAATCATCATCGGTCAAGCCACCATCATTCGTCCTCTTTTTACCCGCCGGTTCTGGAGTGGCAACTACGACAGCTCCAACTCGTACCCATCGAACAAGCCATCACACGGCTATGAGTCCCACGAGCTATCTGGTAGTGGAGGCGACGGATCAAAGGCGTCGCGTCTGGGATTCCGCAAGCCAAAGGACCCGTATAACATCAGCGTGCTCCATACGGCGCAAGGAAATGAGAGCCAGGAGAGGATCGTTGGAACACAGCAAGACGCCGGTTATGCAACTCGGGCACCAACTCAAAACAGTGATCACAGCGGCCGTGGTTTGGATATCACAGTCAAGAAGGAAGTTGACGTGTCAGTTTCGGCTGCAAAGCAAGGTCTACAGTCATCTTGGAAGGCAGTGTGACGAGTCAAGGGGTGATGTGCTGGCATAAACCTTGGAGACCGGAATCCGAGGCATGAACATTCCACCAACAGCATGCCGTACCTGAATGTACGAGCTGAAACCACGGAATATGGCTACATCATAATGGATGAAGACCAGAGGTCATCAAAGGCTCCAAAGTCGAAAAGGGGAGAATGGAAGAACGAGGGTTCAACCAAAGGCAGGTCATCTCCAAGGACTGGACATGGCAGGAGTTGTAGGGGTGCCTAGCTCTGTCAGGAACACTAACGATGTTCGTTAACTTTCCTACGACGGCCACTAATCATGACATTCAATGTGATCTTTGACATAGTCAGCATATCAGAGTGGTACAAACGTTCTGTCACTATCCGTAGTGTCTCTAATAGCGATACCTTGCTCTGTAGTTAGTCTCTGTCCTACTTGTTGTGTAGTTAGTGTGTAATTCTTCCGGAAGATCTCCTGATCAAACATGCAGACACTGACATTAAAAACGATGATAGCAGCATGATGCAAACATGATAGGGTATACACTATCCTCAAGCACGAGGTCTAGTGGATAGTATAGGGGTGGGAGGAATGCATAGTAAAAAAAAACTTGCTCCAAAGTCAACCACTACCTCAACCACGACGACAGCATGGTCAACAAAAGCACAAAAACAATGAGCCCGACGTGGGGGTCGAACCCACAACCTTGAGATAACCAATCGAGTCTTGTTAGGACGTGAAAGCTAAGAGTCTCACGCTCTACCGATTGAGCTAGCCGGGCGATGCTATTGATTGATGGAAAACGGACGGAATACAACAGTGTTATTCACAGTATGAATGTTTGGAGTGCAGCATCTAGGCCTGAGAAAACCAATCGCCCTTTCATCCACTTTGCTGAGGTGTGGTTTGGTGGTTGACGAAGAAAATTTCCTACGGTTGTGTGGGGCCGGGGGCGGCGACGAGATCGGCGAACTTCATGTTCAAGACCTGCGGGAGCCGTTAATCAAGATCATTCGCACCAATACCCTTCTGCCTTTTGATGTGCCATTATGATGTTTCGCATGGTAGGCCGCTTATCGAATGGATCCCAATCGCAGTATCAGGAGTAGTCGCGCGCGCATCAACGTAGCGACCAACTACGCATTAGGCTTTCTGAGTAGGATGTTCTTATACCAACACTGTGGAAGTAAGATACTGTTGCTGAGCTTCTACGCTTTGACTCCGTTTGCTGTCCACGGGTCTTGTGGTAAGGGGCTCATAACCGGTAGTGGTATCGGCCAGGTATTCAAGACCTCCTGAGGATGATTTCCGAGGTCCAAACTCGGTTTGATCGCATGCTAATACCATGTCGAGCTTATGTAGTTGTAAGCATGTGGTCCGATAGGTTGTTTTCAATAGGCGCTTGATGGAATGGTCCACTGGCGCGGGGAAGATAGGGGTGCCTCAGCTGAACGCAGCTCAGAGCGGAAGACTGGCCATATCGATATAGCGAATAAGACTGCAAGAGCATAGCATGCATTCAAAAACAATTGAGTTAAAAACAACAATCAGGTATTGAGGTATAGGTGTGGTGTAACTGTCTGTACCTAGTAGCTGTGGACACCTTACACCTCAAGCTGCAGTATCCTAATGACGTATTCATGTACTGTAACGCACAGACCACCATCCCTGCTCGGAACAGACGGCCTCATCCCAACAGAGAGCCTCGTTTTTGTGGCAATTGACGTTTAGACAAGCTTTGTGATCAACATCTAGTGTGAGGCTGAAATTTAGATTTCTGGGTATGGTGGTCAGCCAGGTGCTAGGCTGAGTACCACAGCTGCTTAATCTCGATATCGGCCTGGGACTTCGCTGAACATGCTTCCGTACATGCACACCCGGTAAAGGATTTACAAGGCAAAGAAATGCACTGTAACTCAGAGAATCGTATACTACTGGTTGAATAGGTTGGTCTCGTTATATCGTTTACTCATACATCATGGAAAGAAAAAATCGTAACAGGCGCCCATGCAAGCCTCCCGCCCCAAAAAGGTATAATCGCGATCCAAACGCCTCGCTGTGACACAAGAAACAGCCCCTCAAACGCATTGACACTGTCGTCATCGCCATCTCTTCATCGATAGATCACCTCTTCTCTCAGCATGCTTCTTGGTGGACTCGGTGCTCGCGGCGCAGCAGGAAGGCTCATTCTCGTTGTCTCGACCTTGGCCTCTCGTAGGTCAATTTCTCCCTCTAGCTCGCCCACATCATGGTATGTTCCTACATGCTTCACTAAGCTGTCTACCGTTCGGCAGATCGCATCTACGTCTCTGCCCCTACTACAGATTGTGCACGCGTACTCGCCATCCGGGGTATGGCATTTGAGAACGAAGCGCTGGGCAAGACGGAATTCGCGTGTCTCCATGATATCAGTTTCGTATCCGGTCGTCTTGTCGTACATGGTAATGGGTGTTCGCTTCCCGATCATCCAGAAGTCTTCGCTGGTGACATCAAGAACAACGCCGCACGCGGGGCATGCGCAGCTACCTCCAGGTGCAAATGTAGATGCTAGGGGCTTGCCGGGCATATGCTGTAAGTCGAGAGCGTAGCGGCAGAAGAGTTGCTCCCCAACATCCATTATCGCACTAGGTGCGCGTTGCGAAGGGACCAAGGAGCGCGCAGGCGATGCGGGACGGAATTCGCCGCCACCTGCTTGTGAGCCTCCCAGACGCTGTTGTGCTTCTTGTAGGGCTACCATGGAGCCTTCTCGGGCTTGGTTCGAGGCGGCGATGAGCTTGGCCATGTCGGCGCGAGTCAACTGGCGGTCGTTGTAGAGGGCGTCTTGCAAGACGTTAATGACAGTTTGTTGAAGCTGTATGATCTGCGCTTGCAGTTGGTTCTCGACGATGGCTGTGAGGAGAGTCAGTATTGTACTTGCTGTCGTACTCAGAGTACCTACCATCGCCTTGCGCAAACCGGCTGCCCATTCTACCATAGCCTTGGTCATACATCCTCTGAATCATCATGCCGTCTCTCTGAAAGTTGTTTCCTACATCGTCGCGCCCTCCCCACTGCCCGCCTCCCCCACCGTTCTTCAGCCGATCAATCTCCTGTTGTCTGCCCTCGGCTTTCTTCTGTGCATCTTCGAACTGCTGCTTCAGCTCCTTGATCTCGCCATCTTGCTTTGAGTCGCGTTGTTTCTGTCGGTGCTGTTCGCGCCTATCTGCGACGCGTTCCCATAGCCCCATAGACGCCGTGAACGTGCCGACGAGAGTAGACGCCAATGTGGCCACGATGAAGGTTTTCTGAGTCAACTGTGTGAGCTTGTATATTACATGTAGATTCGTCATATATTTACCTTGAGTTTCTTCTCTTCGATCCATGATGCATAGTTCATTTTCGCGTTGGTGGTGGTGAGCAACTACGCTCACACGTCGTTCCGGGATGTGAATCGTGGAAAGTGCCGAGAAGATTGCTTACTCTGGAGCAAGTTCGAGGATGATAACTTCCTACTCTTGACTTTGATCTAGCAAAAGCAGCCGCGTTTTCAAATACTGATGTTACGGAAGAGTAGGGTAAGAAAAGAAAAGCGCGGAGAATAAACCCATCACCCCTCTGCGCGCCCTCAATGACGCATTCTGTCCACCCGCAACCTGTAACATGCGCGAGTTGCGGCCCCAAACGGTGCCCGAGCCCCAAGATCACCCTTGCATGGAAATTTACGGCACCTGATTGCGCCAAATGTCGCGCAATCAGTGGAATGGGCATGGGCGCAGTTCACTGACCGCTGCTTTCACGATGCGGATGTGAGCCGCGCCAGCCAAAGTGGAGGCGACATGTGCGGTGATGTCATGACGCTAGCTGTCTTGGATTTAGGCAAAGCGCGGAGATGAGACGCCGTATGGGCGATGAGAGTTGCAAACCGCGACTTTTCAGCGTAAGCTTTGCCGTAAGACATTAAATAGACTGGACGGACTTGTTGGGGCGAGTTGATATCTTCGCAGTACATTTCTGTCCATCGTGGGAAGGTTGAAACGTGTCCACCCCACCAGTGCCAACAGCCATCGCGCTCTCCATAACCTCGGCTTCCATACAGACTTGCGAAAACGCGTTCCGCTTAAGACATGTACCCATATATGTTGGTTTCGACCCGTACATCGCCAGGTTCCTGTCATCAACGACCACTACCTATGTAAGCTGACTGCATTACCCTACCTGCAGGCGGAGTGCTAGCCATATAGCGATCACGATACGTATGTATCGTCAGATACTGTTTTGGTGTTGTACAAGATGTGTGTTGCTTGTCGATGACCTTGGACCTTTTCATGGCAATATGAATGGAATCCAGGCTCTAGGTATGTTGAAGGCATGAAGCGACCAAACACCTCTTGCAGAACGCATTTCGGCCCAACACCCATCACACCACCATTTAGCAATAGGACCGATGCCAACGACCACGACCATCCCAGAGTCTGCCAGAGCGTACCGAGTAGCCTGATCCACGCCCATTCACACCTTTGTTATTGCTCTGCACCTTTATAACCCGTAAAACTACCAAAATTTGCACATACGACCATAGGACACTGAAAATTAGGCTTCCCGTCCGCTCAGCCATATACAAGCAGTGTACCGGCGGATTAGTAGTTAGGTGGGTGACCACTAGCGAATCCCCGCTGTTGTATGTCTTTTTTTTTTACTTTTAGCTGCCCAGGAATATATCGAGGCTCTGGGCAGAAGGCAACTTAACCGAGTTGCTAGAGAACTCCATTTTCGTTGAGACATGGGACGTCGAACAAGCTTGGTGGTTCTTTTTGGTTTTTTTTCTTGAACGAGATAGATCGATAGGCTTCGAAAACCCTCGCAAGATCCAGTGCTTCGACCCCATACATGCTAGCCGCTGTGGGCGTTGGAAAAAGGGTCTGTTAGCCAGTCTGATATCTTGCTGAGCATAGCATCAGCCGCTGCTACTGTTGCCTTCTCTGCTTCAACATCCTTGGTGGGGAAACCTTCGAACGCGTGTGACTGACCATGAACTTTGTAGTATTCAATTCCCGGCGCTCTCCAACCTTCCTGGCTTGAGGCCTTGATCATGTTGCCCGCAAGCTTGTCAGCCATGACTTCGAGCTCGCGGCGTCCACATTGCTGACTTCTCGAGGCGCTCCTTATTTCTGGATTGTCTTGCTCCCGATAAATGCTACCGAAGCCGGCTACGGATACAGCCGTTTGACTGAGCCGGGTGGACGATGGGATCAAAGGCAAGGTAACCTTTCGGAACGCAGACGCGCTACACGCGAATTCGTGACCAAGACGCGATGGGTGTCGCTGTTTTGTCCCACTTCTTATCACGACAATGCGGTATCCAAGGACGTCGCAGCCACGCGAACCTTGCTCTCACGGCAGAGAAGGTTGACGACGCTCCGATTGTGGTTTGACGGGAGCAGCCGTATAGGTGGTCGGATGATGACCAAGCGCACTAAGCCTAAGGCAGCGAAAGCCGCGGAGTTTAGGTGACGCAGATGAGATGGATGACAAAAGGGCCCCGATGTCGCGGGGCAGCAACGGGAAGATTACCCCACTTTCGATTCTCGTGGGTGGTGCATGCAGTCGCGTGTGGCTTGCATCATGTCACGTACAAACCTCACTTCACTTGTTGCTCACTCTGAGGTTTCCTCTGGCGTCTGCCGATGCTTTTATCCTCCTGAAGCTCTGCCATAGCACCTTGAGCTTCACCAGCCCCCATCAACATGGCGACTCCAAAGATTAGCGAGCGGGGCATCCGCATCGCGATTGATGTATGCCACCAAAACATACACGCATGGCAATAGCTGACAGTGCAGCGTGGCGGTACTTTCACCGACTGCGTAGGCAATCCTGGCACCGGCAAGATGGAGGACGACATCCTCATCAAGCTGCTCTCCGTCGACCCCTCCAACTACGATGACGCGCCGCTCGAAGGCATCCGCCGCCTCCTCTCCAAATTCACTGGAACCGAGATTCCCCGTGGACAGCCGCTCGACACATCCAAGATCGAGAGCATACGCATGGGCACCACGGTCGCGACCAACGCGCTTCTAGAGAGAAAGGGCGAAGACATTGCCATGGTCGTCACAAAGGGCTTCAAGGATTGTCTCGAGATTGGAAATCAGAGTCGGCCCAACATCTTCGCGCTCGACATCCGGAAGCCTGAGGTGCTCTACAAGAAGGTTGTCGAGATCGATGAGCGCGTCACATTAGAAGACTACGCCGAAGATCCAGAAAGGAACCAAACACAGGCCAAGAGCATAGAAGAGGCTGGCGACAATACTGACTTGGTCAAGGGCTTGTCTGGTGAGACGGTGCGCATCCTACAACGGCCCCAGGAAGAGGCGATAAGAAGGCAGTTGCAGGAAGTCTACGATGGTGGACTGAAGAGCATTGCGGTATGTTTGATGCATGGATACACATACCCAAAGCACGAGGCGTTGGTGGGAAAGATCGCGAAGGAGATTGGTTTTGAGCATGTCAGTTTGAGTCACGAGCTCATGCCTATGATCAAGCTGGTCCCACGAGCCACTTCGGCCTGCGCAGACGCATATCTCACCCCTGCGATACGAAAGTATATCGATGGTTTTTCCAAAGGCTTCGAGGGCGGCCTTGGCACTAAGAGCGTGAAACGCGAGGAAGGATCAAAAGGCGCACGCTGCGAGTTCATGCAGTCAGATGGAGGCCTGGTTGACGTCGACATCTTCTCAGGCCTGAAAGCTATCCTTTCAGGTCCTGCCGGTGGTGTTGTTGGTTATGCGCTCACATCGTACGATCCGAAAACCAAGATTCCTGTCATTGGATTCGACATGGGCGGCACTAGTACCGACGTGAGCAGATACGGCGCTGGACGCTACGATCATGTCTTTGAAACTACGACAGCCGGTGTCACCATCCAATCACCACAACTCGATATTAATACTGTTGCTGCTGGTGGTGGATCGCGCCTGTTCTGGAGAAATGGACTTTTTGTTGTTGGCCCAGAGTCTGCGAGCGCACATCCAGGTCCAGCTTGTTATCGCAAGGGCGGTCCTTTGACAATCACAGACGCGAATCTGTTCCTTGGACGCTTGTTACCAGACTTCTTTCCTAAGATTTTCGGTAAGAACGAAGACGAGGGGCTCGATGCGCAGGCGAGCGAGAAGTTGTTCAAGGAGCTGGCGGAGCAGATCAATAAAGAGGTCGCAGGCGGCAACAAGGAGAAAGAGATGTCGCTGGACGATATCGCGAACGGTTTCATCAAGATTGCGAATGAAACCATGACACGACCTATTCGCAGTCTGACCGAAGCCCGTGGACACGACACAAGTAAGCACCGACTTGCGACGTTTGGTGGTGCCGGTGGTCAGCACGCAGTGGCCATCGCCGAAGCTCTTGGCATCTCGCAGATTCTGATCCATCGCTACTCGTCGGTTCTTTCCGCATATGGTATGGCGCTTGCCGACGTTGTTGATGAGAGGCAAGAACCAGAGTCTACTGTATGGTCGGACAAGAAGGAAACAAGAGAGTACTTGCAAAACAAGATGGCAGATTTGAAGAGCAAGTCGACAAGTACGCTCAGAGATCAGGGCTTTGACGAGGAGCATGTCCACTTCGAGGAGTACCTCAATCTAAGATACCGAGGAACAGAATCCGCCCTCATGATTATCAGGCCGACTAAGGAGGAGGCACAGCAAGAATACGATGGAGATGAATGGGCGTTTGGCAAGGCTTTCGTCAAGCAGCATGAACAAGAATTCGGCTTCACTTTACCTGATCGCGATATCATTGTAGATGATGTGCGAGCTCGTGGCATCGGCAAGACATTTGAAGGTCTCGAAAAGAGCGTGGATCAGCAACTCAAAGAGATCAAGCCAAAAGATATCTCAGGCGAAACGAAGCGCTACGACACTCGCAAGGTATTCTTTGAGGGTGGCCGACAAGACACTTCAGTCTACAAGCTCGAGGATTTGGAAGTTGGTGATCGATTGAAGGGGCCAGCAATTATCGCGGATGGTACGCAGACTATCGTTGTGACACCTGGAGCTACTGCGCTTGTCATCAATACCCACGTCGTGATCAACATTGGTGAGACTGAAGACCAAGAGAAGGAGGTTGGTACGAAAGAGGTCGACCCAATCCTGCTCAGCATCTTTGCGCATCGATTCATGGCCATTGCTGAGCAGATGGGCCGCGCACTCCAGAAAACTAGTGTTTCTACTAACGTGAAAGAACGGCTGGATTACTCCTGCGCGCTGTTTGACGAGAATGGTGGACTTGTCGCCAACGGTACGTCGATTGTTAAAGTGACCGAACCCGGCTAATGATAGTGAAGCCCCTCATCTACCGGTACATCTCGGTAGCATGTCAACCTGTGTTCGCAAACAAGCCGCCATCTGGAAGGGCAAGCTCAAGAAGGGTGACGTCCTCGTCTCGAACCACCCTATGTTTGGCGGCACTCATCTGCCAGATATCACTGTAATCACGCCCGCCTTTAGTGGTGATAATATCATCTTCTACGTCGCTTCACGCGCGCATCATGCCGACATTGGAGGCATACTCCCCGGCTCTATGCCTCCTGCATCAAAAGAGCTTTATCAAGAAGGTGCGGCTATCAAATCCGAGAAACTAGTATCCGAAGGGCACTTCAACGAGAAGCGCATCACCGAGCTTCTTCTGGACGAACCAGGTCAGTATCCTGGTTGCTCTGGTACACGATGCCTCAGTGACAACATCAACGATCTGAAGGCACAAGTCGCCGCCAATCAAAAAGGTATCAACCTAATCAGCACACTAATGTCGGACTATGGCGAGCGAGTTGTCAAGTTTTACATGACCAACATCCAAGCCAATGCAGAGCAATCTGTTCGTGCTCTACTCAAAGACGTCTACAAGCGTTTTGAAGGCCAGGATCTTAGCGCAGAGGATTTCATGGATGATGGAAGCCCTATCCGACTCAAGGTATCGATCGATCCTGAGAAGGGTGAGGCCGTATTCGACTTTTCCGGCACAGGCCCTGAAGTTTACGGAAACATCAATGCGCCAGAAGCCGTCACCTACTCTGCTATCATCTACTGTCTGCGCTGTCTTATCAGCGAGGACATCCCGTTGAACCAAGGTTGCCTCAAACCGATCCATGTCCTCATTCCCAAGAAATCCTTCCTCTCACCATCCGACAACGCGGCTGTTGTGGGCGGCAACGTTTTGACAAGTCAGCGTGTTACCGACGTAGTTCTCAAGGCGTTCAAGGCCTGCGCTGCGAGCCAGGGCGATTGCAACAACCTCACTTTCGGCTTTGGCGGCACAACATATGGAGAAGGCGATAAGAGTGGTGAACGCAAAGAGACGAAAGGTTTCGGGTATTATGAAACAATTGCAGGAGGATCTGGCGCTGGCTCAACATGGAATGGCACAAACGGTGTGCATACACATATGACCAACACCCGCATCACCGACTCTGAGGTCTTCGAGCGAAGGTATCCTGTTCTGCTCCGTGAGTTCTCGCTACGACAAGATAGTGCCGGCAAGGGCATGCACGTTGGTGGTGAGGGTGTGATTCGCGACATCGAGTTCCGCATCCCCGTCCAAGTTAGCATTCTTAGCGAGCGAAGAGTATACCATCCCTACGGCATGGAAGGAGGAGGCGACGCAGCATGTGGCTTGAACATCTGGGTCAAGAAAGTGGACAAAAAGGCTATTGACCAGAACTCGGACTCCAAGCGCCCCACAGAACCTCTGGAGGATACTACACATGCGCCTAGGACTTCTGATGCAGTAGAAGCGGCCCAGAAGAAAGACGCTGCAAGGGCGAAAGAAGACGTGGAGTACAGATATATTAACATGGGTGCTAAGAATACGGCGGCTATGCGGCCGGGTGAAAGAATCATCATTCATACACCTGGCGGCGGTGGCTGGGGTAAGGAAGGTGAGGAAAGTAGGGTTCAGAACAAGGTCGATCCAAGGGGAAGTTGGAAGGGTGGAAGTATAGCCGAAAGGCAGAGCACTGCAGAGGCCAGTGCGTAGACACTGCTTCGTGTATAGTATAAGCAACGTGGACAGCGAATCTCATCTAAAGATCCGATGCTTTCTTGAAGATGTGTAAATCATGTCCATGGTTGTCTAAGCCGTCCTGAAACCAAGACAATTCGTGTACCCTACTCGCTTCCAGAAATTATACCATCTTCTTCTCTCGCTTTGGCAAATTCAACGCTCTCATAGAATTCATTCATCTCGTTCCAACCCTTCTCCCATTCCTGTTTCATCCATCCCTCCTTCGCAACCCAGAGCTTCTCATGGACGACCTTCAGTTTTCCATCGCCCTCGTCTTCCGCAGGAAAGAATCCACCCCATTGTCTATCCAACTTTGTCACTGGGTATGCGCTCTCTGGACCAAACTGCCAGTTTAAAAACGCCTGCTCAGCCATTACGCAATCGTAATTATCCGTCTTGACATAATTCTGCACAAGTCGTGCATGCATGCGCAAGGAGGGAGTGAAGACCATTGACCCGACGTTGACGTTAGGATATGTCGCATTGAAGATATCTTGCGCGACGCCAGCGAAGACGTAAGGCTCGCAAACTGGCCCGTCGGGTAGAAAGTCGTCAAGATGCAGTTTCTCCGGTATGCAATCTTGCTTAGGCGCGAGGTCGAACATCTCATCAATATTCGCCAACGGAAACGCATCGGCATCCAAAAACAGGATGCGCTCGAATTCTGTCTCTTTCCACATATTGAGCTTGGCAAAAAGATCTTTCCATCGGTCTTGCACGCCAGAGACGTTGCATTCCCATTGAAGAGGCGATAGCTCGCGTACTAGTGCACCAGCTCCTTTAAGGAGCGCACGCTGCTCGTCTGTTACATACTCGGCCACATAGACGATGAGAGGGTATTTTTGGCTACGTGTTTGAGAAGACCAGAGTATCCGATAGATAAGCGAATGGATAGCGAGAAAGTAGGGATCTTTAAGAGAGGGATTACGAGTAGCAAGAAATGTTGCGTACGCATAGTTTCCAGGGGTGCCGAGGTCGTAACTGTGAGGCGTTTGTGTCGAGTACCGTTGAAGCACGGTGGTAGGTAGGTCAAGCTGTAAATCGTCTTGGAAAGGATATTTCGTCTCGGGTTCGCTGTCTGTTCTTGATGACGGTGAGACTTCCTCCAAGGAAGGTCTCGGCTGGAGGTCTAGACTAGGCTCTCCAATAGCGGAAGCGGCGATTTCCTTTAGCGGCGACCTAACATCTCCTGGTATTGCTTGGCTTGATACTTCATCCTTCAGGATAACGAAACCATCGTTTTGGTGGGAGGAGGTGAGCCTGTCAGACGGCAATATTTCAATTCCGCTGATGTGTGCACCCTCTGGTGTGGCTTTAAATTCGTGTCGGTGTTGTGCAACGAGGTACACTGTTCCGAGACAAGCAAGTGTTGCTAGAGTAATATTGTGTCGGCGTCGCATGATGTGTACGGAGACACAATGCACATTTGGCGAAAAACCTTTAGTCAATCCTTGAAGGGGCGGATATCACATGCACCCACAGTCGAAATGCTCGGGCACACACCCACGTCATAATTAAGCCGACGACGGGAGAGGGAAGAGGTGTTACTTGAATAATGGTAACAAAGCCGATGACCTGATCATCGCCTCAACACTGATGAGAGCAAGGCTTCAGATAATCACGCGGCGTTGTCGCCAATTTCGGGTGCTGCCGCTAACAACGATCTGCAGGCGCGCAAAGACCAACGTTCAATGCCCAGGCGCCCAGAGATTACCCCATGGGGCGCCGTGTCGGAGCAAGCTCCAATTCGGAACAACCAATAGATATTGTGCCTCCATGATAATGCACCTTACCCTGTCCGCACCTGCAGTAGTGTTGTGACGGGAATTCCCTGAGCGGGTAAAATCACATGAAGCCGAGTAAGAGATGAGCACGCAAGCGTGCATGTGGTCCAATGCAAGGCGATGACGCAGAAAAAAAACTTCAACGCAAAACTGATTAAATTTCTATCGTACAGAGTAGCTGCGCTGGTGCTTCGGCGGGGTTACTTGTGACCGGACCGTACACTTGTAAAGCCAATTGGCTAATGTGACGCTGGGCTCATCGACTAGTTTCGTAACAACCTCGGCAGCGTAGAGTGTAAGGGGAAGAATGATCAGCTGTGGTAGCCAGAATGCAACCTCAAGACCCATAGGCCCTTTCTTGGGGAGCGGGAACTTGTCGACCCATGCTGGTATACCGTCCTTGTGAAATGGCCTTGAGAGCCCAACCGCGGCGTAAAGTCGGTCTCCCAGGGTCCATATTACAAGCCCGTGGACTAGGTATAGCGCAAACGAGATGCGCGCAAGGTATTGGCAGAAACCAGTCTCGAAGAAGCGCTTGAGCCATGGCAGGCGTGGGATCGAGGCTACTGCGAAGGATGCAGCCCAGAAGAGGTAGAACCACTTTGCGTCGAAGACAGCTTGGGGCTTGAGATGTGACAGCCAGACCCATCCAGGCGACCTGGAGATGAGAACGGTGCGATCGATTTCTGGCGCATCGAATGCCGGTACTCCGCCGAGGTAAAGTGCGGCGATGAACAAGTGGAAAAATATGAGCTCCTTGAATCCGGCCAGCGCACTAAGAAAGCGCGGGAGTTCGTCCCGCTGGGCCAGTAATTCAAGGTCACAGAGCAATACCCCGGACATGAACAATGCTGCGTAGAAGCCGTCTACCACATAGAGAAAGTATGTGATTAAAGCCACCTCGCACCATAAACGAGCGTTCCGTGTGCACCGCGAAAGTGCAGAAAGTGTAGTGTAGACGACAATGGATCCTTTGAATTCGATAGGTATTGACCAGGTATGAGGATGATACACTTCCGTGAACTCATAGATGTTTGTAGAGAATACGAAGCTGTAGTTTTTGAAGGTTTGGTACCAGACAATGACGTCTTCGCGGAATGTGGATTTCATCTCGTGCATGTCAAGTGACAGTTTACTCCAATGTCGGAATGACGTCCAGGCAAACGTGACAATGATGACAGGAATGTAAAGTCGAAGCCAGCGACGGAAAAGAGCGGAACCGACCGTTTCTGATGCGCTTGATGGTTTTCCCTCCTGTATGAGTCTCAGGCTTTTGAGCGAGAGGACATATCCTGAGATGACGAAGAAGATGGCGACGGCGAAGTGGCCACCAGAGAAGACGAGCCGTACGAAAGGGAAAGCTGCGGAGTAGTATCTTCCCTCGTAGCCGAACGAGTTTTCGAAGATCAGATTCCCTTTGCCACCGTGGGACCACAGTTGATTGTGATGCAGATATACCAAGAACGCTGCAAATCCCCTCAGACCGTCTAACCACGCTGTCGGTCTGATTGAACTGCTCTTGGTGTTTGAGCGTAAGCTCAAGAATTCCGGGCGCACGATGTTAAGACTCCATCTTGCTGTTCGGACTGGTTTCCATATCGTTGGTGACAATTTGACGTCGTCGAGGCGGCCATGATCCAAGAGTCCCCCGTGTGTGGTTGGCATGGCTGATATTGAAGCTGTAGCAGTGATCGTGATGGATTCGACCTCGACTGGACAGGGTGGTGAGGGTCTGAGGACGCAAAATGATAGCGGTTACCGCGGACGTTGTGCTAGGCCGGAGGAAACACAATCTTCTCAAGATGATCGTACACGTAGCTGATCTCAACCGAGGCAGCACATGTGTAGAGCTTTTCAGATGCAACAAAGCACTCATCCAGGTCGACGGCCCATGCAGGCGGGGTACGGTGCTGGTGATTTTGATAGCATAGCGCAGGAACTTCCGACAATGGACTAGATTGACTCGCAATAGCGCTCATCAGTTACGGTTTGGTAAATAGTCCTATTGGGTCGTCCCTGGCAGACGATAACTGGTGCGGGGCTTTGAGTGGGAATGATGCCGATTATGTCGAAACCGCCGACTAACTTGCAGGGATCGTCTAGAGAAGCTTTAGCCTAGGCATCTTAACCTAACATCCTCGCCGCAACGATGCAGATGAGCTCTTAGGCATGCAACGCACATGCGCTATCGAGCTTCCGCCACGAGGCAGGCCCTGTCTCAACCATTTGTACCGACGTACCGAGGATGATAGTTGAACGGGGATTGGTGGGCGCAATGGCCGCTTGCGAGGATGACAGGAGGCTCTTGGAAGAGTCAAGACGAGCTAATCCCTCATAGACTTCGAGAGGGTCGGGTCGCCGTAGTGGCCTGGGTCGTTGTAATAACCCAGCATGCGCACACGACCTAGGCAACCTCCGCCCAAGCTTCACCTTGATATCGCAATGCCTCCCCATTCCCCAATTGCATCGCATTTCTCAGGCAAGCTCACAAGTCAAGTTCGAAGGGTCTTGCCTGCGTATCTTGCCCTTCTCTTCATATTCTTGTTCTTCGCCAATACGCACTTTTTTACTACACCCATCCGGGCTGCTTCAAAGTACAGACGCGAGCTCAAGTACCAGCAACCGCTGCAATTGAACGGTGCAGTCATTCCTAGGAAGATCTGGCAAACATGGAAGGTTGGTCCTCTGGGTTTCGAGAAGCGCGACTCCGACTCAGCGAAGACCTGGTAAGAAATCGCCTCTATGAACTGCATATGAGACGTATATTGACTTCGTGCGCGCACCTTTCAGGCCAGCAAAGAACCCTCAATATCGGTATGAGGTTTTGACCGACGACAACGCAAATGAGTACCTCGAATGGCACTACGGTGCACATGGTATCAATAGACCGGACCTTGTCGACCTCTACCGAGAGCTCAACATAACAATCATCAAGGCTGATTTGCTCCGCTACCTCGTCATGTACGCCGAGGGCGGCGTGTATGCCGACATAGACGTAGAATGCCTTCGTCCCATCAGCAGATTCATACCTGAGCGGTACAACGAGCAGGATGTCGACATGATAATCGGCGTGGAGATTGATGAGCCAACATTCGCTGACCACGAAATTTTGGGGTCAAAGTGTAAATCCTTTTGTCAGTGGACGTTCGCCGCCAAGCCAAGACTGCCTGTGATGATGAGGCTCATCGAGAACATACAAGTCTGGTTACACGAGCTGTCGCACGAAAAGGAGGTTGAGATCTCGCAACTACACCTGGACTTTGACGAAGTCATTAGCGGGACGGGCCCTTCGGCATTTACCAAAGCTGTGCTGGAGCAGATGACAGCACAGAACCAAGGGAAGCCGGTTACCTGGGATCTTTTCCACAATTTGGCAGAGTCGAGGCTGGTCAACGGAATCCTAGTCCTGAACGTGGAAGCCTTTGCAGCCGGCCAAGGACACTCGGATTCCGGGAATCATGACTCGAGGGGTGCGTTGGTGAAGCACCACTATCATGCTTCGGGATGGCCAACGCTTCATCCACGACGCAATCACCCCATGTACGGCGAGGTCGAACAGTGTAATTGGAAGCCAGAGTGTGTAGCAGAATGGGTAAGTCAAACAGTAACCAAATTATAACACCAAGATCTGTGCTGATATCGTGAAGGACAAGAACGTCGCTGAATGGGATGCGTTGCCAAAGGAAGAACAGGACAAGCGTATTGCCAGCAAGCTGCCACCACCCGGAGGCGCAAAACCTCATTAGGCTTACGTATTGTGTATGTACGCAGGCCGGTGTTCTGATAGGATGCATGCAAGCGTTCGCCGCGGGTCGACATGGGTGGAAAGGAGATATTGGGTTGTTGGCTATCGCGTGGCGGGTTCATCGTCGAAGGCGAGTTCCTGTTGAGTTTGAACACTCTTCTTGTATCTCTGTAAAGTCTTGCAGGTGACAACTGTTGCAGCTACGGGCGTGGTCGATGGCATGGTGGTTGCAGAGCTATTGCAGCATGCCGACAGCTCGCCTCATGTCTCGAATTCGATCTTAGCGCATGACGCCATAGACCCATCCGTCTGTTGACCCCAGCAATCAACACATCACGACATGACTGGTTTTTGATAAAGATCTTATAATCCATTGCTGACTCGAGTCTTGACTGTTACTCATACACGTCCCTTGTTTACTACCCTTCACCTTCTCTTGCCTCAGAACCTACTACATAGGGTCTACTCGCGATCCGATCTCGTGCTAGATACAGAATTTCTGCCTCAAGAGTTCCTCAATATTGTACATCCCTGATCGCCTCTAGATATATGTCATTGACGGTGGTACGAAAGCTAGCCTCGATAAAATTGGTGGTTTTGATGGGAGAAGCTGATTGCGAAAGCTTAGATGTAGGCGTCCAGGGAAGAAAGCCTAGCCGACCAAGTGCCGGACACCAACGCTGTGTGGGACACGGTAGAGGATGCAACATTTTCGCCTTGTCGTGTCATGTTTCTTCAGGCCACCTCAGATGATACAGCGCTCACAACTTAGTAATCGGTTATAACGCGTTATTCAGATTGTACGTTATCGTACAGAAGAGACTGCGAGAAACTCAAGACGAACAGCGAGTTCGGTCCACATGCTTGCTTCGGCAGCTAGCGTCTTTTGAGCTGTGCACGGACAATGACGTTACATGTAATTTCGAGCCCCGACCTTGGAAAGCTGCCAGACTTCCCACTTTCCAACCACTCTACCATCAAACTCTCTTTTTTGCATCGAGTCGCGTCAGTAATTCGTGTGTGTCATGATCCAACCCCTTCATGTCGGCAATGTGGCGGGGCAACTTAAATTTAGCTGGAACATCACGCCGATGTGGTGGCTTAGCGCAACCATGGCACGCCGCATTGCCGTTTGCTCACCATCTTGACAGCTTCCGCCGCTAATGCACTTCCCACATTACTTTCCGCAATTGCATCGTGTTCTATTGACTGCGTATTGAGGTCTACCACTCCTGGAAAGCTTGCGACACCATGGATCATGTCAACGCATCCCTCGAGCTCATTCATCGTACGTATTCTGGTAGATAGTCGCTTGCAGCATCCGATGAAAACTCCGCTATCCTCCGAGTCTGATGCACTTCATGACCCGGTGCAAATCATTGCTGGACCAGAAAGCTATTTTTTACCTGCGGAACTCAAACATTAAACAAAGAACACACGACCGCAAAATGGGATGCTAACACTGCCATAGTCATTTGCGCAACTCTGATCTTCATTCGCGATGTCACGAAAGACGCAGGCAGCGTATCACACACAACAAACTTCTTGAATGAAACACTCGTCTTCTTGGATGTCTTTTCGAACGTCTGTTTTAGTGAGCTGACCGGAATCTTGCGCGACAGTCGAGTGCATCGTACCTTGACGAGTGATGTAGAGTACTCTCTATACTCGCTGAATAAGTCGCTAGCTGCGCATCGAGAGGCATGGAGGTACATAGGCAAAAGCCCTATACCTGGAGCAGGTCAGAGAAGCATCGAAGATCTGAAGCGCGGTCGCGCCGCATCGTTGGACGCTCAATATGAGCAGAGAGGCTGGAGAGAGGAGATGAAAGAGCGTTCGCAACTATGGCGCGAAAAGGCGCGACCTGGGCTGTACAAGGCGTTGTTCGGAGAAGAGGAGATGGCCACGCTCACCTTAAACTGCTTGCAATGGACTCATCGGCTTCGACAAACTTTGGAAATCGTCTTCCTTGGTATCGGTCCGCCAGATCCAGGGTTCGGTCGCACGAGACAAGCTGCCATCCTTGGCGTAGCAGAACAACTCGAACGCCAGCACCGAGCGGGTGCAGAGCCTTCGAATGATTACAATGCGCTTGTTGGCGCACTGAGGGACCCGATAAGCACCGAACAACCATCACACAGCCTCATCAAGACGATATATGACGATGGAGGTGAGGAGGTGGACGTGCTGGTTGAGCCTAGATCCGATAGCGAGACGCCCGCTGAATACATGTGTCATCTGACGTGGCTGTTACAGGCTCCTCATCAAACTGATGTATCGGTCAAGAGCGATGCCCAAGACGGCTATCAGCTGCACACCCTCAGCTGCATGGGTTTCATCGATGATCCACTGAATACGAGGAGTTTGATTATCTACCGAGCACCACAAAGTCATCCTTGGGCATCGAATCCACCGACTTTGCATGACATGATCTCGAAGGGTCCAACTGCAAGACCCTCGATAGGAAGCCGTTTTCTAATAGCGAGAGCGCTTACGAGTACATTACTTGAGTCGCACGCTTCTGGTTGGGTACACGGAAATGTACAGTCGCGTAGTATAGCTATGATGCCACGGTCCTTGAACGACCTCGAGTTGTCCCCCTTCTTCGTTGGTTGGGGCGTGCTCCAGCCTCTCGACGCTACGCACTTCGCATTGGAGCCGAATCTATACCGACATCACGACCGCTTCGGCCGACCATCGTCTGAATATTCCAATGAACATGAGATCTACTCTCTTGGCGTGGTACTTCTCGAGCTTGGGCTATGGCGAACGATGGCGAAAGTCTTCGCGCGCCGTATAGAAAAGTTTCCCATCTTTGATATAGCGCAGCAGCAAGATCTCTTTAATCGTGTGCACAATGCAACACTAGATTGGGCGAACAGTATCGACATCGAGAGAGAGATGGGAAAAGCCTACGCGCAGGTCGTACTCAAATGCCTCACTTGGCATTATGATGACCCGACTGAAGGCATGGTTGAGTTTCGGAAACAGGTTGTCGATGTGTTGACTACTGGATGTGGACTGTAGCGATGCATTACGCACATTCACGAATACTCAGTCTATATGTTGCCCATATCATTCTCCGCGGAAGAAGATGCCTAGACACAGCAGAGGCAAGAGTGGACGCGCCAATGAGACAATGTGTATTTGCTGGATCAAACCATACTCGTGGCGTCAAAGAAGAAAACGAACAAAAAGAGCGACAAGCCTATCGGTGCGCGAACCTTCTGATAAAAGAAGGCGACGTCTCACGCAATGTATGTTACCCATCTTTCTTCACAATTCGATAAGTCGGTGCATCTTGGCGCCATTATATATGTGACATTACTCTATGGCGGGCGCAGCATTCAGCCTACTCATCTAGTGGAGCTCTATATGTCAACTCTCAAGAAGCGCTGTGATCAATTTACGCTAGTGGTTCTCATTGCAGCCTTTCGGGAAAGAAATGAGGGTAGGTAAATTATGTCAGAACTCCCCCTTTCGGAGCTGCACGTGAGCAGCGATGCTACCAGTGTAAGTCGACCGATGAATAGCCCAACTCCGCGCACACCACAGGCACGACGGCCACTCTCCACCACGATCTCCACCAACACCCGACATCTTCCCAAACTTGCCAGCTCGACCGCTCGACCTTCCAACACTCTACATCACTGTCTCATAGCATATTTTGTTCTCGAATATCCATTTGCCAGACTGGACCGTCCCAGCTGACCCAACTGAACTCGCCTGCATCGCACAAGTCGGATATCGTTCGACGATGGAATTCAATGGCGACTACCAGCCGGAAGATCTACAATGGATTGCGGAGGATGTGGCTATGGATCTTCACCGGAGATGGGATGAGGTCCTTCAGCGGAGTCGAGATACCGCTGAAGACGAGGATCTACGGCGTTTTGCGAATTCTGAAGTCGAACGTCAGCGCGCAAAAGAAGATGAGGAGACCCGCCTTGCACTTTCCGTCAGTCAAGCAGAGTCAAATCAAGCAGAAGAGGCAGAATTTCAGAAGGCAAAGTTGGAGTCTCGCGTGGACGAACGTGCCCGAGCTGAACGAGCTGAGCGCGAACAGTTGGAGCAGGCCGTTTTAGATAGCCTGGTGACAGCTACGCTTCTTGAGCAAGAGCAAAAGGAGGCTATTGACAAGGCCAACGTTAAAAGCGAACTGACCGTGAAGCGTGAGCAGAAACGAAAGGCCGGAGAGCTTACCCGTTGCGTGGCAAAGTATATTATCAACGACTTGACCGAAGAGAAGCATATGCGGCTTAGTATACTGCTAAGTCAGGAAAAGGAGCTTCGATATAATGACGCTGCTGTTCTTCCGGCCACTCTCACTGTAGACGGCGGCAGACCCAGTGTAAAATCTCCGCATCCAGCAACTGCGGGTACCTTATCTTCGCCTCCAGTCAGGGCCGGTCCCTCTGTTCTATCAGTGCCTTCATCGGGTTCATTATTGTATCGTACGGAAGAAGAGAACCCTGGACGGAGAGTGGAGTTACTCAAAGTATCTCGCAGTACCCCGAGCGATTCGCGAATCAGCGAAAACCACTTGGTATACCCAGGCGCATTCCCAGCATCGCCTTCTCAGGCAAGCTCGGCAGCACGTGGTGCGGTGGGTAGACCAAAATCGAACTGTAGTACCCCATTATTACCAGGTGCATATGTTTCGTCTTATGCGGGCAGTACAGCACCTCATAGTGAGGCAGGATCGCTTCCTGGCATGCTATATGGGAAGAGGATGATCATAAGATGTCCTTTAAGCACCAGAAGATCCAGCGAGCGACTCTCTAGCACATATCCACCACCATCACAAGCGAACGACAGTCCGAATCGATCGGCTACAGTGTCTACTGGAGACACGTTCATCACAACTCGAGAATCGCTGTCGCCCCAACTCCATGCACAACCGCAGCGTGCTCTATCAGACTCCTGGCGAAATGAGTACCATGGAAGTCAACAGCGAGAAGCCCAAGAATCTCGATCATCCACGTCCTTCTCGCTCTATTCACTGCCGAGTAGAGCATCGTCTGTTGGTCAGCCGCCCTCGTCTCAAACATCGCGTGAGAGCGTTGCGCGTAAGCCTGTTGCAAATTCTCGGCCTCTAGCCCCCGTTGCTACTGTACGTCGACCACCAAAAGTCGCTGCCGATGCGGTAGTATCGGCAGCCGTAGCTTCGTCGCATCCACAGCAACTCTCGATACATTATCATATCAATGGTAATGGTCCTGTGACTATCAACAACTACAAAGTTCCGGAAAACACCACGTCATCTTTGTCCCTAGCTCAGCATGTGTCAACTAGAAATGGCGGAAACATTGCCAATGGTATGAAAGAGGGAATAATCGGCTTCAAAACCATAGCAGAAGTGAAGAGTGCGGCGAAGAATCTGGCGAGGAGTGCAACCCAAAGTGAACTGTGGTCTCGAGGGGAGGAGCGGGCAGCGATCTTGAGGAGGATAGGAAAGAGATTCAAGGTCGACTCTCCAAGGATTGAGTATGCTACAGTCAACGAGGTTGGCGGTTTTGAACGGGCCTCTGTTCCCGAAGTCCAGAATAACGTTGGTAGCATCGCTCCGTTACCGCAAACACAACAATGGTTTGTCACAAACCCTGACGCAAGTCGCTCGAATCTGAACACGCCCGAGGCCGGAGGATCTCCAAGTTCAGAACACCCGATGTCGCAGACTATTGGCGTTATCGCACCTAGAATGCCCTTGTTACAGCGATCGACAGCATCACCCTCACTATCGACAACAACTCAGCAGACGACAATGCGGCCTCCTCGATGGGATGAGTCGATGATCTTGGATGTGAATGGCGATGCAGTGACTCCGCCTAGCGGTCGGCAGTCGGACTTGACAAATCTTCCAAACGATGGTAGTATCATTCACGATGCTGCCGCTTCGAATCTACTCGATCATGGTCTTATGCCTCCGCCTTTGAACTTCGGTAAACGGACTAATACCGTGCTATGCAAGCCGCAAAACCTGGCTGGCATGTCTTCTACAACGCCATCGCAATCACCGCAAATGAGCGGTAATCCGATGTCTAGATATATGGCTCAAGTACAAAAGCGACCAGATGAGTGGCTACAGAGACCTGTACAATTCTCATTCGGAACTCAAGGATTAGCCCCTGGTTCGTCGGACAGTATGGCAGCGGAGGCGCCAACTCCTGGTTGAGTCAATGAGGCTCTAGGTCGCCGCAGCAAGTTTCCGCCAATCGATACTAACCTGGCGAATGTGCCTCCGGGAGAGCGAGGCATCAACCACTTCAATTCGCGGTCGATGGCGGATTACGGCAGAATGGCTCATGTAGGCAACCCAGAGATTATGGGGGTGCAGCGCGAACAGTACCAATAGACCTACAATCGCGCACCATGAGAGCGTCCAGGAAGAGAGAACTCGAAGGCGACCGCTAGAATAAAGGAGAAGGAGATACAAGAGCCCTTGAGGGCGCCATTTCGATTACTGAACAGGCATGGATCAGAGTTTCGAGCAGAGGGAAACGCGGTTCCGTACTCGGATAGCGTAGCTTCGCAACATGTGGTATATATTGTCAATTTTGTATTTCGGGAAAGGCGACCCAGATATGCTCAAGTAATCGTACTGCCGAGTGCGCGATGTAATGACTCGAGCTTCTCGTGAATATGCTATCAATGGTCTACATGGATCTCAACAAAGATACGCTGCTTTTGATGTATGGTTCAGCGACCATAGCAATACCCGTGGACCTGAGATAACGTTATCCGACGTTACGCACTTGGACTGGCGAGGAAACGTCCTATCGACCCACTCCGAGCAGGGGTGTCGGCCTGTCCAACAATTCCCGATCGATAAGCAACGGCAATGCATGCCGTGGCAATAAGATCAACCATGATACTACGAACTGGAAGGGAATAAGTATCCGAGATGTAGGCACAAGACCCTGATTATACACACTTTCGTAGCTTATTTTCGTGTTTTACAAAACTCCACATAAACATGGGCTCGATAGATATCGCAAGTGGAATGAAGACGGTATGTGATTGACGTGGAGGGTTACATAGCGTTTACTGATTCGATCGTGTAGACTTGGAGTCGCTTGGTGCGCTTTGTGGCAGCCGAGGACGGTTTTGAGCATATCGGCGAGCCGCTCGACACAGGACTGGATGGTATGCTAACATCTCGTCTTCACCAAAGGCCATTCGCTAATAAAATTCAGTCGGCGCAGCCCTCGCAGCTGGATCAGAAGTCGGAGTACGTGTTTTCACCGGTTCATCGGTCCTCTCCGTAGATGCACAACCAACAGCAGCAATCGCGACAATATCACGACTGTTGCCACCACTGTCAAAAGCCGAAGTCGGTACCATTCGCTGTATAGGCCTCAATTATCGCAAACATGCAAAAGAGATGAATCTGGATCTTCCAAACCACCCAACGCTTTTCTTCAAGCCTGCAACCTGTCTGGGTGCACCTAATGCACCATTGGTCATTCCGCGTCAAGCGACTGATGGGCAGGCAGACTACGAAGCCGAACTCGCCATAATCATTGGAAAATCGGCAAGGAATGTGAGCACAGAAGATGCTATGAATTACGTGTTGGGTTACACATGTTCGAATGACGTGACAGCGCGAGTCCACCAATTCAACGGTGCGCAATGGAGTTTTGGAAAAGGCTTCGATGGTTTCGCACCGCTTGGGCCCTGTCTCGTATCCGCGTCTTCAATATCGAATCTGGGCGACATCGAGCTCAAGACCGTACTGAATGGCGAGACGATGCAGTACTCCTTGGCGAATGATATGATCTTTAGTATAGCTGAGATCGTTGCGTACCTAAGTCAAGGGACAACATTAGAGCCAGGTACCGTGATCATGACGGGTACACCGCATGGTATTGGCGTCAGCAAAGTACCAAAGGTATGGCTCAAACAGGGTGATGATCTGAGAATCGTGATGAGTCATGGTATGGGAAGTCTGGTGACGCCAGTCGTGTATGAGAAAGCCTAAAAAAGGTGCTGACAGCGAATAAACATAATTCCGCGATGATCTTCAAGCGAGATCGAGTTATGGTGAAGATTTGATGATAGAGCTTTAAGTAGCTATGACGAATGTCGACACCACTCTTCAACTTGTAGAAGACATGCCAATTTATCCGGGGCTCAGTATCCTATTGAAAACCAAATAGCACCTGCTCTTGTGTGATGTTGTCCAGTACGTGCTCCCAGTGTTGCAAATCAGTAGGCTCAAACAGTGTCAAAGACGGGTCTCCCCATGGAGGTGCTTGCCATTGAAAGGGCCCGCCTGCACCTACCGCTGGTAAGCCGGGTACTGTTGCCGAGCTATCTTCAGTATTTGGCGATGTCAAGTCGATATTGTTAGCAACATGTGCAGTAGCCGAAGCATCGTTCGCTGTGTTAGGACGTGTTTCAGTACGGCTAGTGCGGAACTGGTCCGCTTTCTTGATGCAGAGCTCGATGATCTTGACCTCAGCTAGCGCGAACTCGTTGAGCCAAATGTCAGCTCTCTGCATATCACAGTACGCAGTAAGGTCTTCTAATATCGCACGGCATTTGGGCGAGTGCGGATCCTTAACAGCAATGATACCGAGAACTAAGGCACTGTTGAAGAGTTGGTGAGGACCCAAAGTCCACTTCAGGCGGTCGTTCAGGGGTTGTTGAAAGTAATCAATGCGCATTGCGAGGTCAGCGCATGCCGACGAGATGCATGCATCATGACTATGCCTGAAGCGATTGGTGATACTTTGACGTAGCAGATACGGTCGGTGAAGAGTGACACGGGCGAAATGGTACATGGAATGGAGATGTAAGCGGTTCCAGTACAAAAACGGATGTACATGATCCATAGAAGTATCTGGGTTCTTCAAGTGATAGTATTCAGGTAGCTTCGCTTCCCATGTAACAATCTCGTGGTCCAGCGAGATGACCGTGTCGTAAGAAACGGTAAAGAGGCCAAAGCAGCGATCTTGAATGTCGCCGATGATCTTTGCCAAGTCGTGCGCGAGGAAGTTGTAGACGCTCAAGGTAGGCGAAGAGATCGGAAGCTCTGGGATAGCAGAAGCGGCCTCATCAGGTTGATCATCCAACCAGACGTTAGTAGCTCTTTTGACTAAACACTGCTGGTCAACAATGGCGAATGGACGGCCGATGGCGAGAGCGATTGTCTTATCCAAAGTATAGAGATGACTCCACAGGCGCCTTCGTGTTTCAGTCTCTTTACGGGGGAGACGCCAACGCTCGCCATCGATATGCATACCTTGCGCTTGAGCCATGCGCATTGCGAAACTTGTTGTGAGCCAAGCTTCGGGTACCCTTCGCAAATGAATCAAGTAACGCGTGACCAGGACACCGGCACGGACGAGGTCTGTCGACTCTCCGTAGAAAGTTGGCGCGATAACTATAGCGCGTCTCGCAGCCCAGTAGAATCGTAATGATGTCTCTTGGAGATCACGTTGCACTTCGCCGTTCTTTGGGTGAGGACAGTCAAGGAAGGCACCGTACGCAAGGACGATAAACAGTAATGCCAACCACCTAAGATCGATAGATGCGTAGTCATCAAAGCCGAATTTGCGTTCCCAAAACTCATCATATTTCAGTTTGAAGGATTGAGGATGAATAGCGTCTATGGTCCAGTTCAGCTCGGTAAGGAAAACATGTACGAGGCGGTCGACACTGGCTTTATTGCGAGGCAGTAAGCCCAGCAGATCCCATATCTGCGAGAAGGGACCGCCGACATCTCGAAAAGACTGCGCCGACGCGGCTGCATGGCGAATTCCAGATGAGAGGTCCGGTGCGGGCTCCTCAATTATTTTTGCCGCCGCCTGCGGTCCAAAATATGATGAGCCAAAGAAGGAGGGCGCATCTCGGCTACGGAAGAGGTTACCCACTTGTGCATCTCTGGGTTCAGGTGAGGTTCTACTGTGCGTGGCTGTAGTATGTGTATCTTCGTGGTATGTTAGCCAGAGTCTGCGCAATGAGAGTATTGCAGGGACATTCGCGCTCTGCTGTGCGACATGTTGTGGCGATATTGACATACCTGTGACATTGCCTGAGGACGCTTCATCGCTTAGAGAAGCAGTGGGAACTTGTGAGGTTTGCTGGCGGCGAGCCTCAGCTTCTTCGCTGTACGTGCAGCTCGACGCGACGTCGCGTCTGCTGCAATTGAAGCATGGCAGCTCTCCGTCGCACTGGGAACATTGTCAGCCGCCGTCTAACCAACGCAGTCTGGCCGTAAAGACCATGCCACCTGCGTGACGGACGTGCTGCGAAGGTTTGCAGGTTTGTGTCTTGTTGGATACCTTACGCGTTATCGCAGACGCGAACTCGCAGGTGGCTGATTACGTCACACGCACCTTCTGCTTCCGCCGATGACACGCGACGCAGCTCTTAGCTTGTCGACCTCTCTTCCTCTTTTTGGCCAAGAAACCTCCATCACCTCTGTTGACCTCGCTCTCGCATCGCGATTCCATCATGTTGATGATTTCCAAAGATACTCATGATTTAGCCGACGGGTATCTCTGTCAATCGTCTGCCAATGCTTGCCTGGGGTACTAGTGCATCCTTCGCTGCATATCGTGCCCACTTTGGCAGGGCTCGCTATCTCCCCGCGTCGGACAATTGACAAGGCCCAGATCGGCAATAGATACCATTACATACCAACATGCATGCTATAAGGTATTCATCGTGGCAGATGCCTTTGGGTGCGATCGCTAGTCCACAGCGTGAGCTTTTCATTCAATCAATTGCCAGGAAACATCACCCGCAACATGTCGCATCCGAACCAGGATGATAAAGCCTTCGATGGCTCAATACATGAAAAGGATACACAGATTGGTGCTAGCGAAGAGATTCACATCGATCCAGTTGCGGAGAAGAGGGTAGGTGCAGCACACATGACTGGGTGTCACAAGCTGACCTGAATGTATAGCTTATCCGCAAACTGGATCTGATATTGTCTCCCATGATGGTCCTGGTGTTTCTGGTATGTTGAATTCGACTTTACAAATACTCTACTGTCTAACAAGCGTGCTTCAGGTCGCCTACCTCGACCGATCCAACATCGGAAATGCTGCTATCGCAGGCATGAATGAAGACCTAGGGCTCACTGGCAACCGTCTCAACGTCGCTGTAACGCTTTTCTACGTCACCTACATCGCCTTCGAGGTTCCAGCCTCTATATTATTGAAGAAGCTGCGGCCATCGCGCCTTATCCCTACATTTATCATCGGATGGAGTGCGGTTATTATTGGAGCAGCTTTCATTGAGAACTACGCCTCTCTCATAGCTACACGCCTGCTCCTCGGTGTCTTCGAGTCCGGCCTGTTCCCATGCCTGACCTTGTATCTGAGCATGTACTACAAGCCGCTAGAGCAAGCTCGAAGGGTTTCCTACCTTTTTGTTGCATCTGCACTGAGTGGGGCCTTTGGTGGACTACTAGCATATGGTCTGACAAATCTGCATGGCGCAAAGGGACTTGCGGGCTGGAGATGGCTGTTTCTCGTTGAAGGAATCATCTCTATGGTCGTCGGTATCGCCACAATCTTTCTGTTACCTGACAACTTCGAGACTGCATGGTGGCTCAATGAAGACGAGAAAGCTCTGCTCCGTGCTCGACACGAGAACGAACGACTCTACCAGGGCAAGTCTATGACATCAGACGCTTTGGACAAGTCCGAAGTAAAGCTTGCTTTCCGCGATCCGAAGGTATGGCTCAGCGCTGTATGCCAATTCTGCGCCAATACTTGTTCATTCGGCTTCTCAACGTTTCTTCCGGTGATTATACGTGGCTTCGGATACTCCAGCATTCGCACTCAACTTCTCACCGTACCTGTGTACATCTGGGCCTCAGTTGTATACCTCTTTATCGCCTTTTGCTCCGACTATGTCAATCGCCGAGCATTCTTCATGGTTCCTCTGGCATTGGTTACATCGATCGGTTACGCCATGATGCTTGGTGTCTCTATGTCCTCGACCGGGGTGCTGTACTTCGCGACTTTTGTCACTGCTACTGGCATTTACTGCGTCGTGGGCCTGAACGTTACCTGGGTGATCAACAGCAATGCCGGATACTTCAAGCGCGCCACCGCTATCGGTCTACAGCAAACCATTGGTAACTCTGCTGGTATCATGGCTGGGCAGATTTACCGCATCACGAATAACGATGGCCGCTACGTAATCGGTCACGCTATCTCGATTACAACTATCACAATCGCGGCATGCGGTTACGCTCTGATGTACTTTACTTTGCGCGGGATCAACAGGAAGAGGGAAGTCATGTCCATCGAAGAGAGGATTCGAGAGATCGATTCTGGGAAGCTTGGCGATCGCCATCCCGACTTCCGCTACACATCGTAGAGATGGAACTATGTTTAACTTTGTGACCATAAAGAATTTTGGACTCACTGTACTACATCATTGCAATCGAAGTTTGCGAGCGCCTCGCAACAATAGCATCCAATGTGTTTCTTCGCTGCTGAACTACACCGATGATCCAGGCTTCAGACCCTTGAATGTCTTCGTAATATTCGTTATCGCGTCCTCGACTGGCAAGCGTTCCATTGAGCTTGCACCATAAAAGCCATGCACACCCTTCGTCTTGCTAATCACATACTCCGCATTCTCTGGCTTTGCGATTGGACCTCCATGGCACAGAATGATGACGTCCTCTTTAATTTTCGTTGCGGCATCACGAATCTCTTGGATCAGTTTGACGCATTCATCCAAGCTCTTCCCACTGCTCGCACCGATACTTCCACTCGTTGTGAGACCCATATGGGCGACCAAGATATCGGCACCAGCGTTTGCCATCTTCTTCGCTTCTTCTACGTTGAACACGTACGGTGTGGTCAGGAGATCCATCTCGCGAGCCATCTTCATCACTTCAACCTCAGCATCATACGACATTCCTGTTTCTTCAAGATTCTGTCGGAATGTTCCATCGATCAAACCAACGGTAGGAAAATTTTGGATGCCGGCGAAACCGAGGTCTTTCAGCTGCTTCAAAAAGCGAGACATATCTCGGAAAGGGTCGGTTGCGCACACACCAGCCAGTACTGGCGTGGATTTGACGATGGGAAGAACTTCACCAGCCTGAGATTGTTAGCTATTAGACACTTTTCAAAGCTTTCCAAAGTTAACATCAAGTGAAGCGCGCATACCATTTCCAACACAACATCATTAGCGTTTCCGTACGGCATCAAGCCGGCTAACGAGCCGCGGCCGGCCATTCGATATCTTCCACTGTTGTATATAATAATTAAGTCGCCACCACCAGCTTCGATGAACTTCGCGCTCAATCCGATGCCGGCACCTGCGCCAACGATGATTTTGCCATTGTCGATCTGCGAGCGGAGGTTCTGCAGTATGCTCTTGCGATTGGTAGGGGGTGACATGTTGTCAATTTTGTATGCTATCGACTTTGAGTAAACGAATCAGGTATTGGACGTGGTATTATATTGTCTTAAAGTTACAGCGATGATGCTGAGAAAGGTTGTTGAAGTATGCACGATGACGTAATGCAAGCGCGGGGGATACATTACAGTGGCATGAACGTCTGCGACCCACGTCTTCACACGATATTCATATTATCATCAACTCATTGTCTCCTGGTGAGCACGTCATTATGTCTTCCAATCCCCGTGTTGTTCTTCTTGGTACTTGCGATACAAAATTGGAAGAGTTGTTATTCCTTCGTAAAGAAATAGAGCGGAACAATGTCGACGTGATGCTGATGGATGTGGGTCGGCGCCACAAGGAGTATGATGCCATCACAATCAGTCAACACCAACTGCTGGAGGATCATGGAGATGCAAAAGATGTGAGCAAGCTACCTCGAGGAGAAGTCATCAAGACCATGGCTGGCTGCGCTACCAAAGCTGTCAAAAAGCTATTCGATGAAGGAAAGATACACGCCGCGATCAACGCGGGAGGTTCAGGCGGTACGTCGCTCGCAGCGGAAGTGATGAGAACTGCGCTCCCTATCGGCTTTCCAAAGCTGATCGTGTCAACTGTGGCAAGCGGCGATACTGGGCCAATCGTAGGGGAAACCGACATCACCCTGATGTACAGCGTTGTAGATGTGGCTGGCCTTAACCAGGTACTCCGCAATGTGCTTAGCAATGCCGGAGCAGCCATAGCTGGAATGGCCCGCGCATACGCATCTCGCCAACAAGACGCAGCCCAGCTGACAAAGAAACGTGTTGGCATTACTATGTTCGGTGTCACCACGCCAGCTGTCGACTTCATCCGAAAACATCTCGAAGACAACTACGACATTGAGACGTACGTATTTCATGCTACCGGCCACGGCGGGAAAGCAATGGAACGACTCATCCAAGAGGGTGGGCTGGATGCAGTTCTCGATCTTACCACTACCGAGATATGCGATCATATTACCGGCGGTGTCATGAGTGCTGGTGAGCATCGTCTCGAAGCCGCCGCAAAAGCCGGAATACCAAATATCGTCTCCGTAGGCGCGACTGACATGACAAACTTTGGTCCCAGAAGTACAGTGCCGGAACGGTACAAAGATCGCAAGCTGTATGAACACAATCCTGTCGTGACCTTAATGAGGACATCAGTAGACGAAGCAACTCAAGTTGGCAAATTTATTGCAACGAAATTGAGGCATTGTGCAAAGAAGCCCGGGGCAATTCAGGTCTGGTTACCGAAGGGTGGTATCAGCATGATCGCTGTCCCTGATGGGCCTTTTGAAGACCAACAGGCGGATGCTGCGCTCTTCAGTGCGATACGAGAGGAACTTCGGGGTGGTAATATTGAAGTTACCGAACACGAGCGAGCGATTAATGATGAGGGATTTGCGCACGATATCGCGGAGGCGCTAGTCGCCAAGATGGGAGTTGGTCGGTAAGCAAATTGGGGTAATTGCGTGACTTTGAGAAGGCGCAGCGAAAGATGGCACAGCCAGTCCAGGAGCAGTTTCCAATGTCAAATACCATCTTCCCAAGCTCTTGGCTCTGACACGAGGTGCATGCGCCTGACGGCCATGGGACCGTGCCACTTCCAACACGCATCGCCAGGCATCTTCACGCCTGTATTAGGCGGCGCGGCCGTTGCAGCGCCCCTGAATTACTATCCGAGATGTCAACAAGCCTTTTTGGGCTCAGGCGTTCTGCGCTAACTAACCGTTGGACGACCATTGGTGACACTGTAAGGCGGCCGAGATCCACATAACTAGCGTCATGCTACGCCTGCGAACATCGTCAACTGCTTTCCGGTCTCTTGTTCTTGAGAGTGCTGCATTCCCACTCTGTTTTCCTCTGTCGTTACGCAATCACACTCGTTCTATTTTTCAAAATGTTCGCACGCGTCAGTGTGCTGTCACTCGCTTTGTCATGCATTGTTAGTACTACCGCAGCGCTCGACTTGGATGTCCAGAACAAGGGTAATGACGATCTTCTCCACTTGCGCGACTACGATGCTAATGTGTACAGACTCTATCATACTGGCCGCGTAGGCTCTTGCAGGTGGTCTCGTTAAGTTCTACAACGACTCCCTTTCCAAGGATGGAATCCCCGGCCTCTTTCCAGACCCCTACTTCTGGTACGAAGGCGGAATCATCTTCAACGCATTGATCGACTACTCTTATTTGACTGGCGATAAGCAATATGACTCTATTGTATCTGAAGGCATTCAGGGACAGCTTGGCGACCACCCCGGCCTTGCCTTCTTCCCCGCTAATCAGACCGCGCAAATTACCAACGATGACCAAAGCTTGTGGGCTCTTGCAGCAATGGCCGCCGCGGAATCAGATTTTCCAAAGCCGGAAAAACAATCCTGGGTGGAATATGCTGCCCAAGTGTTCGATGCTCAGGTGCTACGCTGGGATGATAAGAGCTGTAACGGCGGTCTTCGCTGGACTATCTTTACTTTCCAGGCAGGATACGATTACAAAAGTGGAGCTGCCAACGCTGACTTTTTCCTCCTGGCTGCTCGTTTGGCCAAATTTACCGGCAACGAAACGTACTCCGAATGGGCTGACAAGTCTTTCACTTGGGCAAAGGACATCGGTATTATCAACGACGAATATGCTGTGTTTGACGGTGGTGATGCCACCGAAGATTGTCGCGATATAAACGGATTACGGTGGACAAACCTGCATGCCGCCTATACGGAGGGCTCTGCTATCATGCAGAACATCGTAAGCACTTCCTAGTACAGTGTGCTCGGGCATCATACTGACATACGCCACCAGACCAACGGCAAGCAGAAATGGACTGACGCACTCCAAGGCCTCGTGAACTCATCTGCCATCTTCTTCCAACAACACGACGTCCTCACCGAAGTAGCATGCGAAACGAACGGGAAGTGCGATGTCAGTATGCGCGCTTACAAGGGTATGGCCATAAGCTCTTATGCTCGCGCAGTCGTTGCCGCTCCTATCATTGCAGAACCTCTCACCGAAAAGCTCGAAATCTCCGCTCAAGCTGCTGCCGGCACGTGTGGCGGAGATTTCTACGACGTTCAGTGCTCGCTAGATTGGGCAAATTCCACCGAAGGCATGTGGGAGGCTGCTGATGCTAGTGACGGGAATCTGAATGAAGTGTACGATGCGCTGCAGGCGGTGCAGGGTTTGTTATTCTCTCAGACCGCGCCTCCAAACGTGACAAGTTCTGGGAACGGAGATAATGCGACGCAGAAGGTTGGTGCATCAGGTACATCGGGGGCTGGAGCGCCCAAAGAGACGGGCGCAGCGGGGACCATTGCTGCGAGTGTTACGATGGTTCTGGCTATGGCTTTTGCTGCGGCGCTGAGCTGCTAGTCTGGAATTGAAGCGGATCCTTCCGTTCTAATGCTACTCCCGGACCCCTTATCCATGTACAAATGTGCACGCTATATGTGTCGATGTCGAATTCGATGTCTCTGGCGCGTGGAACCTATAAAGTAAGAGCAAGCTTCTGTGTTCACTTTCTGGGACTAGTATGCGAGCGCTCATTCCAGATCTTTGAATGCATGAAAAAGACTAATGCACTCAGTTGACTAACAACTGCCGGGCCGGCTGGCCGTCGTCGAAGTGTCTAATGTTCGTTGCTTTACGATGGTTGTGCCAAGCCTGTCAATCGATTTGAAAGGATGAAAATGGCTCAGTCAAATCCGCCTCGGGCGAACACTGTGGCACATCGACCTCACTCTCGGTGTCGACCTCGATATCAATCTTGTGTATTCGCCATTCGTGGATAACCTTCGTTTCAAGCAACTTAACGGTGATACTGAAAGGGTTGCTATGGTAGTATGTGACTAGCTTGCCCTTGATATAGCAACATATTTCTGGACCTTGCCGCGCGAGCCAGCAGTAGCTGACCAAGTTATCATTAGCAACGTATCGGAGTGAAACATCCCAAACACCGGTAAGCCCGGAGTATAAATCGATAGCAACCGTGAAGGCTTTATGGTGAGGCTCCGACCAGTTTTCGAATGTCATGAACAAGACGTTCGTCGAAAAGTTGTGATTGACGAATGTATAGCTTCCTGACTTGAGTTCTATATCCTCGCTAGGGGTTGAGCGAAGACAATCGTAAGAAAGCCAACTTTTAGCATGTGTAAAATGGTAGAGCATGCTACCTAGGGTAGGCGATGGGCTAACGATGAAACACTCATTCTTCCCTCGCAGTGCCTGCTCTTTGGCACGCCCATCATGGAGCAAAGTCGGGCCATTGCTCATGAGGATAACAGCTTCAACTTTCGACCGAATCAGATCTCCAACGTCTACTGGCACCGTCCCCCAGTCTTTTCCTTGATGACGATAAGCTCTTCGTGCCAATCGTCTATTCGCAACTCTCGCGTGCGGCGGGTCTAGAGGGAAAAGGAGTATACCGAGCATGTTTCCCTGCTTCCTCTCGTCTAGTGTGCTGCGGACGCATCGGAGAACCCTTATCAACCCCGCCACAATGCCCCTTGTTGATCGCATCTTGATAGGTAAAGTAGGAAGATGGATGTGTAGACCGATATTACTCTTAGAAAACGGTATAGTTGATCCAAGGGTTCGTTCGAGGTTCATAGAATACCGAAAACTCTCCGGCGATGCTGCTAGAAGATCGGTGAATCTTGCGGATGAATACGACGTAGGCTGCACATTCGGGCAGGATTGGAATTCAGTGCTTAGACTCCAAGCTAAGATTGAGTCATCATCTGTCCGGTGCAAGAGCTCTTCTTGGAGTCGAACGAAGGCTCGTCCACCCTCTCCATACAAAAGTGGCATATTGAGCTCAAATATTCCGAGCAGGCAATAAGCTATATCCTCTTCTCGAGTAGTCTTACGTAATGATGCCCAGGACATCTTCTTGGCAATGCAGAATTGATCCAAACGAGGCGCTTGCGTCGGCGGTTTGTGTCGACTGCCAAAGCTCGCTATACCATGATATAGAACCATTTCGTCGATTAGGGTAGTTTCGGAGATAGAAGCTGCAAGATCTTGCCGAGTTCCTAGTTGTATCCAATTTCGATCGTAGAAGATCACTTCTGGGGGTGCGATCAGCTCCTGTAGCGTCCAGCCGCGGGTAAACCATCGACTCGCTCCCAATTCTGTTCCCACATTGTTTGTAGAGACATCGTCTAACATGGCGTAGCACCGAGTTGAGTCTCTATACCACACATACATCGAGTTGATTGCTTCGGAAAGTTCGGCGCTTGAGGTTTTGTCAATGCAGCAGGTATCTATCCATGCATAATATAGTCCGTGTCGTAGAGCCTGTTCGCAGGTATGCTTAATTTTTCTGTAACCGGATTTTGCGATTGCTGGCGCCTGATGTAGAGGGAGATCCGAAAACGTCACCTCTTCGCCGCCCCATGTGTGAGACAAGATGGCGTAATCTGGAATGTGGTTTCCAAAAAATTCTTCGAGCTCAAGACTCTTGCAATTGATTAGACGCATTGATGAAAAGAGATATTGATAGCAGTAGTGGGGTAATGTATGAAGGGAGATGGGTTGCCTCCAGGTGCGATAGAGAAAGCAATAGGCTGATTGAGACTTCCCCGCTTCTACGCCCGCGCAAGGCTGAGCGATACGTGTATGATCTCATACTTGATGTTTGCACATGTACCGGTTTATGTGGCAATGAAGAGCGATTGATCTTAGTAGAGCTCAGTGACCGAGGTATCAATCGCTGCTCCGCCCTGCAGCCGAAGTTTCAGCGCGTTTATTTGAACCTTCCGTTCTGGGAAAGCATCTCTATCGCTTACAGTGGCGATGAGGAGGCTCGGGTGGCTCCCCGGCAATCAAAGCGCGTCGATGTTGAAATTTGGATCATAATGTAGCTTTTCATATGATTTCCAATAAAAGCCGATCAGACGCTGGAGTCACTTAGTCGGCGTCCAACGAGACCCACAAAGGAGTCGTTGTTACTCTAGAGCGTCATTGTTATCTGCACGTCTAGCCTGATAAATCTTATTGAACTTCCATGCATTCGGTTCAGTGTAGAGCATGTAGAGCGTTTGATGTGTGAGGTTGTTCGTGCGACAAGTCATTATCCAGAAGAGGTTGGTTCGAGACATCAGAAGTTCAACAGGCTGGAGATCGCGTCTTAGTCGCGTCGCGCCGCGTGGACTTAAGTGGGGCAATCTGTTCAATGACCAATTGGAGGAAATCTGACGAAGGTTGAGCTAGAAGAACCGCCACCCCACCAAACAGGATGCATCACAACTTGCTGCAACAAATACGCCCTACCACATCCTCTGCCGCACATATCTTTCCGGTGACATGTGGCCTATTGGCGTCGGCTTGTTAACCAACGATTGGACCGAATGCGATGTCAGAGGAAGGGCACAAGCAGCATTCATTTCGTGGCAAAGCCTGCTCTTCTGAGCAGGCTCATGTATGCTGTGGCATCTATCCCCCAGCCACATGTGCCACGCATGGATTATTCGATCTCTAGCTGTTGCGGATGGTGTCACTGCAACGATGCTGGCGCTCGACGACGCTCAAGAAGAAGATGTCTGCCTAAGTGCGGTGCGGTGCAGCAAGTACGGTAATCTTCTAGAAACTTCGTCACCCATAAGTACAGATGTGATCCGGGAATTGCGTAAGCATTGCTATCAAAATCATTCAAGTACTGCGATCGCAGATATCGCGCTATATGCGACAGAAAGCCATATCTTTGTAATTTCAGTCTAAGGTACTTTCTGGTAGTCACGCTCCAGACGGTGCTATGGGACAGAAATATTGTTGTCTCTCATTCTGATCACTCGTCTGCGACAAAGCGATCACAAACAGACCGACACACTCTTCCAGGTCACACACCGTTCATGCATTGCTAGGTTCTTTCCCCTGCTGCCACTTTGCTCTCCATAGTTTCGATGTTATCGTCGCCGCTTCTCAAGAAGCCAAAAGCTACAGCCGAAGGTCTACCGATCGAGCTTTGGACGCTTATATGCCACTCAAGATCTTCATATTCAGACGGAGAGGGGTTCATCATTGACTTCCTTGGTCTTTCTAATCTCCGCCTCACTAGTCGAGCGCTAAATCAGAAAATCTGGGATGCATTCCTTTAACGGCATTTCGCATCTTCCAAGTTCAGCTTAATGCCACAGAGTCTGCAAGACCTAAAGAGGTTGTCGGAAGACGAGCAGCTTCATAGATACGTTCGAGAGCTGGAGTTTGGCCCAGAGATACTGAACACGAATCTGGAAGTCGACCTTCAATACATCAAGGAGCAAGGGGAGGAGCCTTCTACCGGGTATCCACATCCTGAGGGCTACATTTACGTGGATTCTGCCCGCCCAATCTGGCCGATAGTCAAGCTCCCAAGACCGCTGCATGAAGATGTTACCAGTAGAGACTCAGAGTCGGCAATGGTTGTTCGATGGAACAAGCGAGGTAGTTATGATCGCTGGCTCCAAAAATACGGAGATACGCTGAAAATGTTAGTTGAACGCCAAAACCACTTTCGAGCTGGAACTGGATATGTCCGAGAAGCCATCATAAAGTTCCCGGCATTGAACAGCATCAAGATCAATCCTCGTCCAATAGGTATTTACTACGAGCAGCGCTTTGCCGGAACTATAAAACGGAGTAGGGGTACCATGTCGCTCTTCCGCGAACTTGGAGCACATGAGCTCGAATTGACGACCGACACGGCTCCGTACGGTTCAGAGTCCATCTTGGAGTTCAGCCTTGACGGTCTTCTCTTTATGGAGTATTATGCAGAGATCAACATGCTGGAAAACCTCTTCAATGTCTTGAGCTCGGTTGACTTGGGCAAGTTTACTGTTGATCTAACGATCACTGCAGCGAACCTTCTATCTAATGGCAAGGTCTTTGACACCAGTCACCGAACTTGGACAGCCATGGCTCCCCGTATACGAAGCCTCACGTTCGACTTCGCAATGAGCGACATGAAGATCTACCAGGTTCCTCCACTGTTAACATGGATAGCCGAGATGGTACAATCCACCCGTGCGGTCGAACACTTCTTTGGCCGCAATCTCTCCTTCGGGCACTTTGTATTGCGAAAAGTCTTCGCGCAATCTTCTTGGACGAATCTTCGAACGCTGCATCTCTTCCGATGTAAAGCCCATAGCCGCGATTTGCTCGGAATGTTCCTCCGTCATCGTTCAACTCTGGAAGATGTAAGCTTGTCGTGTGTCACGACTACTGGTATGAGCGCGACATCCTGGAAGAACATACTTGTTCTAATGAAGAGCATGAATCAACTTGATCGTGTCACGCTGGATCGGCTCGAACTACAGGGTGCTGTTGACATGTCTAGCCTCTTGTCGCACCCTTTGAACTCCAAACCATCCACATGTTATTGCTTGAAGGCAAAAGGGTACGAGAAAATCCGTCGCATGCTACTCGTGGCGACAGAGTGCATCATACTTATTCCAGGTCGGAAATCTACGGTTTGCGAAGTGCAATTTCGGACATTGCAACTCGACCAAGAGTACATAGGGCAGAGCTCAGTGGGGTCTTGGCAAAGTTCGTCCACAGACCTGTCTTAGACAGCTGTAGAATCATCACGTGTTAAGTGTAGGTAATGGATAAATACTTCAATATTGAGTAATTCTACAAGCTCGGTAGCTTGCCATCTCCCCGTACATGGTACCGCATCCAGCATATTTCAAGTTTCTTGGACGCGTCCTTCCTTATTTATCTCAACATCCTACTTACCCATCTTTGCGCTAGCCAGGTACTCCTTTCTCATAAGGCGTGAAATGAGAAAAGCACCAAGCTGTCTAAACGCTGGTACCGGTGTTAGGAACTCAACGCTCCGGCGATACAACTTATCGGCCGATAGAGATTTCCTTTTCTGGTTAGCGTCGCCTCTCCAGGAACCCGACAGGGTCTTGACAGCCAGTAGTCTCACAAGTCTGCGCAGATATATAAACACCATATACCGTACTTGAGTAAGGACACTGCCAGATCAACAGTTCATCAGAATAAAGACATCGAAACCATGGCCTCTCGAACTACTATCTTCATCACCGGAGCTAACACCGGCCTCGGGCTTCACACCGTGAAGGCTCTATACAGATCAACAAACATATACGACATCTTGCTTGGTGCTCGAGACTTAAACAAGGCTTTAGCTGCTATCGAAGAAATCAAACAAGAGTACCCCAACTCTACGAACAGCATCGAGGGAATCCAAATCGACCTTCAGGATGACGCTTCGATTGCTCAAGCGTTCGAAACAGTCTCCAGGAAACACGGAAAGATAGATGTTCTTCTCAACAATGCGGGTATGAATGTGAAAACCTCGATAGGCTTGTACTCAGACTGACTTCGTACAGGAGCGCAATTCGACCAGCAGGTACCCAAGGGTAACATGACTATCAGAGACATCTGGAACAAATCTTGGGACGTCAACGTGACTGGTACATATATAGTGACTGAAGTCTTTGCCCCATTACTTCTCAAATCGTCTCACCCACGACTGGTCTTCATCACCAGTGGCACAAGCACCCTCACGGAGCACGACAACTTAGCGATGCCCATAAACCGCTCCCCTCCCAGAGGCTGGCCCAAGGAATCCTTTACAGTCACGGCGTATCGAGCAGCCAAGACTGGTATGAATATGATGGTGCTGGAATGGGCCCGGATGCTCAAGGAGGATGGCGTCAAGGTGTTTGCAGTCAGTCCTGGCATGCTAGCTACAGGTTTGGGCGGTGATCCTGAGGCTATGAAGAAGATGGGAGCAATTGATCCGAATATTGGGGCGGAACTCGTTCGCGATGTTGTCGAAGGTCGCCGGGACAAGGATGTCGGGAAGGTGGTGCGCAAGGATAATGTTCAGCCATGGTAACTCCGGAGCATCAGACGTGTTGGCTTTGTATTCAAATTGAGACGGGCCACAGCTTTGCGCTCTGGCTTATCATAGAATTTTGAAATCATTAGCAGATGTGGTCGTATCACAGAATTGCTCGATATCTATCAACCCGTTGCTTATGAAGTCGAACGGATCGAGCGTACTGAAAGTGAACTGGTCCTCCGAGTATGTATTGTGATTAGTGGTGTCAACAGGCCAGTCTGGGATTCCGGGTACTGTGGTCTTTGTTGTTGTTTGCGGCTGGCATCCTGTTGCTGATCCTACTGTTGGCGGTATGAAAGCAGATAGGTTGGCG